CCAAGAACTGAAAAATAAATATTAAAAATTCTCTCTCTCTCTCTCTCTCCTCTCTCTCTCCTCTCTCACTCTCTCTTTAAAAAAAAAAAAAAAAAGAATACTGTGTCCACTTAAAACCAAAAAAAAAAAAAAGAAAAGAAAAGAAACTATGATCCTGTGTTTTTGCTGTAGTGCTGGGGGTGGAACCCAGGGCCTCTCTCGTGCTAGGCAAGTGCTCTGCCCTGAGCCGCAGCCCGACCCTGAGCCTATTTATGCTCTTTATCCTGCAGTTAGGAGCACCTTCCAGAACCCTCCTCCATCCCCTATCTCCTACCTGGTGTCGGGAGGGCAGGCTGCCCCCGCGCTTGTGCCACGTGACCTGGGCGTTGGCCTGCCCAGTAACCAGGCAGTTCAGATCCAGGGTCTGCCCTTCAGCCACGTGGGAGGACGATGACTCAATTCGTACCGGCGGGGTGACCCCGAGTGCTGGTGACAGAGGACAGAGGGTCAGCCCCCGGCAGGAGGTGAGAAGAGACCGCGTGAGTGGGGACAGGGGCCACTAGTTTCTTGGGAGGTGTGGACTGAGGCTTTTGGCCTGATCCTGCACAGCTAGGACAGGGAGTCCCCTGGGTGGGCCCCCAGCCCTGTCCCCCCACCAGTGCCACTCACCAGGCACGGAGCTCTCAGGCTCAATGGTGACCAGGACGGAGGTCTCCAGGGGCACCGAGCCGCCCACCACTCTGCACATGTACTCGCCGGAGTCAGCAGGTGACACCTGGTTCAGCCTCAGCAGTGAGCCGTGGGCCTGTTGGGAGTGCGGGGTGAGGTCAGGGGGCGCCCCCGTAGCACCCTCAGAGCCCTGGAGAACTGGGGGCAGGTGAGCACCCCACCGAGCCCATGCCCGGGTGGAGCAGCTCTCAGGTTGAGATGCACCCGTAGCGGCCACGCCGAGAATCCTGAGTGGACGCCTCCTTCCCACTTAGAGGCCTCCTATCCTCGGGGGACCCCAAATTCTAAAATACAGTGTGGCCACAGGCCACGGCACTGAGGTGGGAGTGGTCTCTCGGGGCACTTCTACGCACTGGACCCTGAGAGCTCCGCGATTGAACTTGATCCTTGGGGTAAGTGCCACCATCACCAGGTTACAGATGCTAGAACTAAGGCACCGAGAAACGAGCACCGGCCTAAGGTCACAGTGGTGGACCGGGACTCACGCGTGGGCTGGCGGGGCCTCGTAACCCTGCACAAGGTTAGAGGGGGGCCAGGGCCTCCAGTCCTACTCAGCACCCGGTGCTACCCTCTGCTCGGCCCCTCTAGCCTCCTGGTCCTTTACCTGGTGCCCAGCGGGCAGGCTGCCCCCGCGCCTGTGCCATGTGACCTGGGCGTGGGCCTGCCCCGGCACCACGCAGTTCAGATCCAGGGTCTGCCCCTCGGCCACTTGGGAGGAGGACGATTCGATGCGGATGGGCGGGGTGCTGCCGGGGGCTGGGGAAGAGATCCCTGGTCACTCTAGTCCTCTGACGCTGCCCGGGCCTCTCCTCTTTCTGCCTCCCAGCCCGGCCTGGGGGCCCCACTCACGGTAGGCAAAGTTGGCCCCCTGGGTCCTGGTTACTGTGACTGTGATAGAGGCCTCCACGCCATTGCTGGCCCGGCAGACATATTCTCCTGCATCCCCTGGGGAGGCTTGGAAGATGTAGAGGCGGGAGCCACGGACCTGGACGGCCATGGGAGGGAGCCTAAGATGGGGCTTCCAGAGCCCAGAGATCCCCAGCCCTGGGCTAGGAACTGCCAGCCCCCCAGTCCAGAGGCCAGGACCCCATCCCCCACCACCCAAGGCCCCTTCCCATGTGCCAGGAGCTGAGTACCTGGTGGCGGGCCGGGAGGCTCCCCCCACGCTTGTACCACGTGACCTGGGCATGGGCCTGCCCTGCCACCACACAGTTGAGGTCCAGGGTCTGCCCCTCGGCCACTGTTGGGGACGAGGACTCAATCCTGACGGGCGGGCTGGGTCCTGGGGCTGTGGGGACAGGGTGAGGGTAGCAGATGCTCCCCTGGAGGGCAGGACCTGTGCCACCCAGAGCTGCCTCTGCCTGGGGCCTTGGGGGGTTTGGTGGCCTGGATTTGAAATGCTCAGCTCAGTAACCGAAACAGAAGAGCAGGCCTTGGGCTGAGCCTGGCGGAGCAGGGAGAGGAGGCAGAGATGAGGAGGGAGCCGAGCTAGGAAAGGAGGAGGCAGGAGCAGAGGCCGAAGCAGTGACGGGCACAGAAAGCTGGGCAGAGCACTCAGGCAAGCGGCCTTCCTGGGCAGGCCCCAAGGCCAGCTCCAGGTGGGCTCCCTCCCCAGCTGGCAGCAGGAGTCACCTGGACCCCACACCCCTGGGTGGCCCTCAGCCCCGTCCAGCATTCAGTGTCATCAGTCTCTCACCAGGGACGGAGCCAGCGGGCTCGATGGAGACCAGGACCGAGGCCTCCGAGCGCTCCGAGCCGAGGACCACGCGGCACATGTACTCGCCCGAGTCCACAGGGGACACTCGGTGCAGCCGTAAAAGTGAGCCGTGGGTCTGCGTGCAGAGAAGGGTGGGTTGGGAGGAGACCAGCGCAGCCCCGTCCACCCCCTCCGGCAGGCTGGACCTGGGGGCCGGCGTACCTGGTGCCCGGCTGGGAGGCTGCCCCCACGCTTGTGCCACGTCACCTGGGCCTGCCCCGGCACCACGCAGTTCAGATCCAGGGTCTGCCCCTCGGCCACTTGGGAGGAGGAGGACTCGATGCGGATGGGCAGGGTGCTGCCTGGGGCTGGACACGGGGTGGATCAGAGGCCTGGGTGCCTGAGCCTCAGCCTGCAGCCCTGGGCAGAGGGCCATGGCGGAAGACCAGGCCCCAGCTTGGGAGGGCTGACTCGGGGCTTCTCTGCAGATGGAATCACATCTTCTAGCTCCTTCCCTCCCTGTCTCCAGCTTGGGGCTCCAGGCCCATCTACCACTGTGACCTCTTATGACGAGGTGGTAGGAAGCCACCCAGAGATGCGGAGAAGTCACATGACTGTCTTCTCCAGAGCGTTCACCGTGTGATCTAAGCGCTTTCCACTGACACTGTCTCATCTAAACCACACCACCAACTAGTAGGTCATCTAGGAATGGTACCGTCTCCATTTCACAGATGAGGAAACTGAGGTCCCCAAAAGGAAAAGAATCGGTTCCAGGCTGATCAAGAGAGGAGTCAGGACTAGAAGCCAGGTTAGCCCAACTCCCAGCTCAGAGTTCTGCCCTGAGGCACTGCTGGCTGCCAGCCTTATGCAATGGTACCGTCACTTGTGGTCCAGCCAAGCTGGATCAGCCCTCTGGCCCCGGCCCCTCTCCCTGAGCAGGCAGCAGAGGGTCAGAGCCTGCCTGAGATGTCCCCTGTCCCGATGCTACTGAAGATCACATCTTCCCCGGAGCATCAGGGAGCCCAGGGCTCAGCCGTCCTGGCTGGCCGTCCCCAGCTTCTCACCTAGGGTGTGGTTGGGGCCCGAGTGGGTGCTGTGGGGGACGGAGACCATGATGGAGGCCTCCTTGGGGCCCGACTCTGTCTCCACTCTGCAGACATATTCTCCAGAGTCCGCTGGTGAGACCTGGGGGATCCTCAGCCGGGAGCCGTGCACCTGCGCCAGATGGGGACGGAGGGGAAGACGGACAAGGATGTGACCGCTGCTCCCTGTGGCCTTGGTGGTTCCGCCGTCAAACTCTCGTGGGCTCTGCTCTGAGCCACCCACCCAGGAGCGAGGAGGGAGGAGGGCATTGTCTGCCTGCGCACAGGCCAGCCCAAGCCAGCGCCCCCGCACCCTGGGAACCCCGCCAGAGCGTGGGGCCTCCTACCTGGGCGTGGGGAGGCAGGCTGCCCCCTCGCTTGTACCACGTGACCTGTGTGTGGGCCACCCCCGCCACCACACAGGTGAGGTCCAGCGGCTGCCCCTCCGTCACAGTGGGCGATGAGGACTCGATCCTGACCGGCAGGGAGCTGGCGCCCGAGGCTGGAACCAGAGGCGGGTCAGCGGACCTCAGGGAGCCACCCGCCCTGCCCTCCCTCGGCCCCCAGGCCCCGCACCTGAGAGGACGACCACCTGAATGCGCGCCTGGGCGCTGCCCGCGGGGCTGGTGGCCACACAGAGGTAGAAGCCAGCGTCGGCAGCCGTGATGGCCGGGATGAGCAGCGTGGCGATGTCCGTGCGCTCGGACCTGGCCTGCCACACAGCCAGGGGCTCAGCCACCCGAGGGCCGGCCTGGCCCGGGCAAGCAGGGAGGACAGGCGGAGGGGCCCCGGGCTGCGGCAGGCCGGGGCCAGTATCCAGGCCCAGCCGGGCACCCAGGGCAACGGAACCAGGCCGGGGTGACGGCCCGGGCCCAGGGTCCCAGGAGGGAGTGCAGGGAGCCAGAGGGGAGGAGGTGGGCACTGGGGGCTCTCGTGGGGGTGGAGGCCTGGGAGATCTCACCTGCGGCGGGAGGCTGCCGCCCTCCTTCCTCCAGGTGATGGTGGCACTGGGCACACCCGCGGCCCTACAGTACAGCCTGACCGTCCGGCCTTCGTGCACCTGGGTCCTCTCCGGGCTCACCTGGACCCTGGGCCCACTGCCCCCTGCAGACAGTGCCTGTGAGGACAGTGCTCGGGCCGCCCACAGCTCCCGGCCGCCCTCAGCCCGGCCCGCTCACCGTGCACCTGAAGCATGGCCCTGGCCACGTGCTGCCCGGCGCTGCTGAGGCCCCGGCACAGGTACTGGGCCTGATCCGAGGCCTCGACGGCTGGCAGGCGCAGGATGCCACCGTGAATTTGTGCCTTCTGAGGGAGCTGGCCACCAGGGCCCCCTAGCGTGGAGGTGTGGAGTCAGTGCTGACTGGCACGGGCCTTGCGCAGGCTCCCAGGGGCCAGTCCTGGCCCTGCCCTCCCACCTGCAGGACCGTCAGGCCCCGAATGTCGCTGCGGCACAGCCTCACCTATCCACTCGAGGGTGGGTGTGGGGCTGCCCGTGGCGCTGCAGCGGAACTCGGCCGTCTGCCCGGGCTGCACCGTGAGCTGTGGCGGGTGGATGGAGACCACGGGAGCAGACGAGGAGCCCGGGGCTGGGGGGAGAAAGACGACGTGGCAGGTTGGGGAACGGAGCTGACCACAGTCAGAGCCCTGCCACTCTCTGCTGCGGCCCTAGCCCTGCGGGGCCAATTGTTCACCCAGTGGCCAGAGGGAGGAAAACACCAATGGGAGCCAGGAGCCATGGTGGCACACGCCTGTGACCCCAGTGACTCAGGAAGTTGGGCAGAAGGGTCACAAGTTCAAGGCCAGGCTGGGCACGTTAGTGAGACTGTCTTAAAATAAGGACTGGGGATGTAGCTCTGCGGTAAACAGCCCTTGGGTTCAGTCCCCAGAACAAAACTGAAACAAAACAACACACACAGACATCTGTATGGACACATCTGTCACTTTGGGACCTTGTTACCTCGATTCGTGAGATCTGCTCATGGGTTCCCTATTGCTTTATAATAAAACCCAATCTTCCTCTGCTCCTCCACATACCGCACACTTTCACCTGCTTGGACCTGAGGGTTCCTTACCCACTCTCCCTCCTGCAGCCCCAGCCAGGTGGGTTTGCTGTTCCTTGGCCACAAGCTCCTGCCTCAGGGCCTTTGCACACGCTGCTCCCTCTGCTCTCTAATTGGCACTGCACCTTTCCCTTCAGGCCTGGGCTTAGGCGTCACCTGTACAGCAGCCCAGCTGCAGCAGCCCCTGTTCCCTGTGCTCCTTCCCAGTAACCACATGCGATTTGTCTGTCCATTTGTTCCCTGGCTATGTGTGAGCTCTCAGTGTGGATCTGCATCTCAGGAGCATTGAAATCCTGTTTGTCCTTCTGGTCCCTGCTTCTTTGGAGGCCCAAGACTAGAACCGGCATACTCTAGGCACTCAGAAATGACCCATCGTGTGAAGAAATGGCGCACGGTCCCGGGGCTGGAGGGGTGTGGGGGCGGTGGCTCGGGCGTGGTGACGTGGGGCTACCTTGCACGTGCAGCGTGGCCGTGCCCTTGTCCATGGCGAACATGTTGGAGCCCGTGCAGACGTAGGTGCCCGCGTCGCTCAGGTGCACGTCGCGGATGGTGAGGATGCCGTTGAAGTCCATGGCGCGGGAGGGCAGCTTCCCGTTGTGCAGCCGCGTCCACACCAGGGTGTAGGCGGGGGACTTGAGGGTGAGGTCGGAGTGAGGATCACGTGGAAGGTTCGGAGACCCCATGACAGACCCCGCCCTCTCCTGCCGGCCCACCTTGCTCTTGGCTGTGCAGATGAAGGTGACGTCCGCCCCGGGGCGCACGCTCTGGCTCCGCTGCTCCTCCACTGTCACCGTGATGGGCTTGCTGGGCGCCTCTGTGGGGACAGGGAGCCCTCAGTGAGCTGGGGTCTGTCCTGTGACCACATTTTCTTTCTCTGTCCCCTTCTCTGGGGGTCACTTCTCTCTTGGTCCAGCTTAGATGCCACTCACTGCCCTGGTGCCTGCCGCCCCTGCCCAGGCTGAAGCCAGGCAGCTGCACCCTCCCCTCGGTACCCAGAGCCTCGCCCGGGAAGGAGCCCCTGGCTCCAGCTCAGGATTCCAGGCCACAAACGAGCTCTTAACACTTGACACCTCACTGGAGCAGAGTTTCCCCATCTGGTTCGAGTTTCCATCCTCCCCAACAACATTCCACACCCTCGGCTCCCTCTGCCTCCCAGCACCCTCTGTCACAGCTCAGGGCTGCTCACTCACACTTGTTGACAAAACAGAAACGGCGGGTCAGGACTGTTCCCATCTTCCCAAATCCCCAAATCTACCTGCTCCCTCCTTCCCGGTCCCTGAGGGATGGACCCCCCTCCTGCCCACCCCCACCCACCCCGCACCTTCTGAGAGACAGACCTGTCCCGCCTCTTGTGCCACACCATCCTCTCCTCTCCCTCCCTGCAGGGTTGGTCTACTCTACAGATCAGTGTGTTCTGGAATTTTCCAGTTCTGGACCCCATGTTTCCCCCGCAGAGCTGCTACCCCACTTCCCAGCCTCCCGTCAGAGCCGAGCCCCTTTCCCATCCACCTCCGCCTTGCTCCACCCTGGTCTGACAACCACTCTCGTCTGACCCCAAGGTTATCTCACATCCCGTGGCAGCTGGCCAGCCACCTGCCACCCTCCTCAGCTCCCTCCCACCCCACTGGCTGCCCCCTGCAGCTTTTCCTGTCCTTCCTCTTTGACTTGACATGTTCCACCTGGAGCTCCCTGCAGCTCTGTCCTGGGCCCTGTCTTGCAGTCACTGTCCCGGGGCGATTGCATTCTGCACTGTGACTGTTGGCACCAGAGTGATGCCCCCAAACTCACCTCTCTGGCAAGGACCCCTTTCCGCAGTTCAGACTCACACATAAAAACACCTGGTTGACAAACCCACTTAGGTGTCTCCCCAGCACCTCAAACTTAGTGAGTCCAAGCGAAACTTGGGGTTCCCTCCGACCTGCTGCTGGCCAGGCTGCTGTGCCCCAGCCCTGACTCCAGTGCCCTCCTGCCTCCCTTACACCAGAGGCTGCCTTCCTTGGCACAGGGCTTTCCTGGGGCCACTGGAGCCCACGGCTCCTGCTCTGTGGTGGGACAGGGCAGAGGTGCAGGGGACTGAATCTCTGGGAACAGGCGCAGACCCCAGCTCCTGGGGGCAGGGGCAGGGGCAGGGAGACGCTGAGATGCGTGCTGTACCCTGGCTCCAGCTTACTCGGCCTCACGGAGCCCAGGCTGTGTGCAGGGGGAGGAGCTGCTGGTGACAACACACACTCCTCCCCCTGCACAGGGTCCTGGTTCTGCTCTGTTTGCAGGAGGCCAGATGAAGACACCTTCCAGCGGGGCCTTCTCCGCTCAGTAATGGCACCATGTTCACGCAATTCTGGGGTCTCGACCCCGGGGAGCAGCCTCCTCTCCTGCCCTCCTGGTCACAGTCAAGTGCTGCTGATTCTGTGTCTTAAACAGACCCTGAATCCACCGCCCCTTCCTGCCTCCACAGTCATGGCCTTGTTTGGGTGGCCTCCGCCCCTTCCTCGTACCTGGAAGCACCCACAGCGCCGCCCAGGACAGGCCACCATGGGTCAGGGAAGAAGGGACTCACCAGTGACCAGCAGCTCTGCCCGGCTGGTATTGGCGTGGTGGAGGTTCCGACAGGTGCAGATGTAGACCCCGGCATCAGAGGGCTGCACGCTGGGGAAGTGCAGCTCGGAGCCTGGATGGGGGTCGGGAGAGGAGCTTGTGAGCGCAGATGTCCCTCTCGGCCCCGCCCTGCACGCAGGGATAGGACCCGAGCAGGGCAGGGACAGGCCCACATCTCCCCTCTCCCTGGGCTGACCCCGGGGTGAAGATCCCAGCCGAGGCTACCCTGATGTCGCTGCTGGGTGCTGCTGGGCACAGGCCGCCCATCCTCACGGGTCCAGTAGAAGTAATGGGGTGGGCTCCCGCTGACCTGGCACCGCAGGGAGTGAGCGCCACCCTGGGGCACGATGCTCCGAGCAGGGTGGACCTGGACCACCAGTGGGGCTTGGTCTGCTGGGGTGGGGCAGAGCAAGGAGAGGCCGTTCCGGCAGGACACCTCTCATCTCTCTCTCTCCCGTGTCCCCCAGGCCCCCAGGTTCCCTGCCTTGCCCATTACCCCCACCTGGGCTGTGGTCCCACTTACCCTGTGGCAGGCACCGGCCCCCTGGCACGTTGGGGTTACCTGTGTAACCTGGGGCACACCTGTCAGGAGGAACAAGCACCGGCTCTGTCAGGCCGTAAGGGACCCCGTGGCTCATGGTGGACTTGGGGAGCCAGAAACTGCCTAGTGTGGGGTTAGGTGGCTCAGGGCTTTGGAAGGAATTTGGGGACCAAACAGTCCCCAGCACAGGGCCTGAGCTGAGAAAGGGGAGTGGAAGGGAGCACAATGAGGAAGGAGGGAACAGCCATTCCACAACCGTTTATGAGGCAACTACTGTGTGCCAGGCTCTAGGTGCGTAGTGAACGTGATGGAGTCCTTGGCTTTGCAGAACCAACTAACTGGGACCCCGACCTGGAAGCACCATGTCAGAGTCGGGCTAAGGGCCGGGCAGGTAGGCTTCCCGAGGATGGGACTCTGAGCTGGATTCCCCTGGAGCGGGCTGTACTCTTCCTTCAGAGGACCGACCACAGTTTGTAAATCGTACGTATACTCGTGTGGTTATCTTTTCCCTCCCTTCCTATTCCAGGTGGCAGAAAGGGCCGAGATGGACTCCCCTTGGCTTACCACTTTATCTCCAACAGCTCTGTGTCTACACGGCCCACAGTGGATGCTCAATAAAAACGTGTTGAAAGAGGGAATGAAGCTAAGAAGAAGTTAACCAGGAAAGGGAGGGTTTAGGGGCAACAACTGTTCCGTGCAGAAGGAACAGCGTATGCAAGAGCCGAACAGCAAGAATTCAGAAAAGCTCCGTCCAGCTAGCGTGGGAAGTCGGGTGTCAGAAAAAAAGCATGTGGGTCCTAAGAGGTGTGGGCCTGTGCCAAGGGCAATGTAAGTCCTAGAAGGGTTTGGGGCAGGGAAAGCACAGGACTCTGTCTAGGGCTCTCACCCAGGAATCTACCATTTGCTCCTTCCCTGTATCTCGTTGCAAACTTACTGCTCGCAGTACTGTCCGCTGTAGCCGGGCTCACAGGCCGTGCAGCGGTAGCCACCGGCTCCCAGGCTCTCACAGGTGCGGGAGAACCTGGGGATGACAGGCAGAGGTCAGGCCGCTGCTCCCTCCGCTCCTGTCCCGAAAGCCAAGGCAGCGCCCTCCACCCACAGAGGGTCTGGTCCTGGGCCTCGAGTGGGGGCACCCACATGTTCTCCGGGTTGGTCAGCGGGCAGGCGCAGGGATGGCAGTCCTCGGGCGTTCCGGCCGTGGCGTCTCCGTAGTAGCCAGGTGCACACAGCTCGCAGAACTCCCCGGCAGCGTTGTGTTGGCATTGCTGCAGGGACAAGGGTGTCAGACACCAACCGCCAGGTGGCATTTACCCAGAGCCTCGCACTTCTGCAATCCCTCTGTCCAGAAAGTCCAAGTTGGTGAGCTTATCTTACGCAAATCACAGAAGGGCACAGTTTCATTACAGGGACAGTCATTCAACTGCGAGGTGTTACAACACCCTAAACATCCCAAAGCGGAGAACTGGATCCATTAAACACTAAATCCTCATAAACAGCTATCAAAAAAGGACGGTGTAGATTTTATTTCATGGATTCTTCTCCCTGCAAACCTATGATCTCAAAAGAAAGCAAAGGTGTACACCTGGGTATCTGGGGATAGAACTTGGAAAATACACGCTTCAACGTGACAACGTGTGGGCTACGTATCCTCCTCCAGAGACACGCATGTGTGTTGGATTAACATAGCATGTTCCTTGATCCGTGTTTTTAGCTCGTGGCTCTATCAACCAGCTGGCCCCTGGTCAGGTACCCAGGAGAGCCATATACACACACGGCCCTGTAAAGCCCAGTATTACAAAAAGTTACATTATGGAAAGATATTCAGGAATTATTACAAGAAAACATTCGATTATTAAACACGATCCCATGTGTATTTGCAGAATGAAGAATATTTAAAAGCATGAATATTGCTGGGTGTGGTGGTGCACACCTGTAATCCCAGCTGCTTGGGAGGCTGAGGTGGGAGGAAGGCAAGTTCAAAGCCAACCTCAGCACCTTAGCAAGGCCCTAAGCAACTTAGGGAGACCCTGCCTCGAAATAAGAACTACAAAGGGCTGGGATGTAGCTCAGTGACCCTGGGTTCAATCCCTGGTACCAAAAAAAAAGAAAAAAGTATGAATATTCAGGGCTGAGGAAGCAGCTTGGTGGTAGAGCACTTACCTAGTATGTGTGAGGCTCTGGCTTCAATCCCAGAACCAGGCACACACACACACACACACACACACACACACACGCACACGCACACGCACACGCGCACACACACACAAATGTTAATATTTGCCCAGGAAAGGAGCAAGACAGCGTCTCACTCCAGTGCTGACAGCGATTCCCCCAGGTGGTGGGTGGAGGGACTCTTAACTATCCTTTTGGTTTCTCTCTATGGGCTGGGCTGGGGGTGGCTCCGTGGTGGGCGCTTGCCCAGCAGACCAGAGGCCCTGAGTCCATCCCCAGCACTGTCAAAAAACAAAACAAAAAAACCTGCATTTAAGGAAAAAAAAATAAGCCTTTGTAGTCTGACTTCTATGGAGAACACGTCACTCAGTGATAAGGAATAAGATACAATAAGAGCCCAAGATCTCTTTATAAAGGAGCATGTTATCCCCTAGCTCTGGACTGCCCGCCACATCCACAGCCCCCCGGTGACCTTGCCGGTTGACCCACGTGCTTGGCCACAGGCCATACCCTGTGACCTTGTCCCTGGATCCAGGCCTACCTTACCAAATTCCCCCTCCCACCCACACGCACCCTAGGACGGCCCCAGGCCCAGCCAGCGGCCCCCGCCACCTCTGGCCTTGCTAGCCTCTCACCGAGCAGGCCCCGGTCTCTGGGTGGCACAGGTCGGAGTGGCCGTTGCATTCACACAGCTCACAGTGGCCGAGGTAGAGGCCGCTCCCCGTGCGTGTGTAGCCAGGGGCGCAGTCCTGGGGACAGAGCAAGTCGGGTCTCCGTTACCGACAGGATCCCACCTGGAGCCAACAGACCCACATCTCCCTCCCGTCTGCCCCCTCCAGGGTCGAGACCCTGCTGGCTCTTGGAGCCCAGCCTCCCCCCACGTCCCCTCTCCTCTTCACTCTCCTGCCGCCCCAAAGCAGGGACAGTGTCTGCCCACCCTGCCTGGTACTCCTGCCCATCTGAGCACTGTGGGACCGTTGTTTGTCCCTAATGGGACGCCTTCCCCACCCCAGGACTCTGTTCCTGGATTTTCTTCTGGTGGGAAAGGTTTTTACTGAAGAATTTCACCCCAAAGTGGGAAAAGCAGGTTGGAGAGCCCTAGATGGGCACAGGCCCTTGAAGGTCCCCATGATGACGTTACACTCATTAAACAAAGTGAGGGACGCCACACACAGCGCCGGGGACATTGGTATACATGGAGACTGGTTGGCACAGGTGTGGAAAGACCCTCTTCCTTGTCCCTCCCACAAATCCCCCAGGCCCGCCCTCCCTGCACTCCAGAGGGATGCCCCCAGGACGTTCATTCCCAGGCTCCACCTGCAAAACGCCTTAGACTTGAAAATTGAGAAACAGGAAGCATAGCTGCTGGGGGGAGGGAGGGGCTCTGCTCCTTTCCCTCCTGCCCACCAGCCTCCGGGCCAGTGTTAGGACAGCCTGGACTCTGGAGTCCCTAGACCTGGGCTCAGACGGCTTCTGCCACATGCTGGCTGCGTGTCCCAGGGTGGACCACAGACGTCATCGTCCTCTCTTACCTGTGAAGGGGGTGACCGCCTGGACCTCGGCACTGAGAAGATGCGGTGCAGGGGACCCCTAGCTACGGCAGCCATCACGGCCACGGCCAGGCCACGGGACAGCTTGCTGATGCCACCAGGTGCAGGGCGGCTGGACGGCCACACACTCACCTGGCAGGACAGGCCCACGTAGCCTGGGGGACAGCGGCACTCCTCCACCTCCAGGGCCCGGGGTCCAGCGGAGAGCCCTGGCTGGGCGACCTCCATGCTGACGGCACTGATGCTGGCCGCCAGCGGCACCGAGGAGAACGTGGCCCGGACCAGGAGCTCGTCCAGGTCGGCCAGCGCCATCAGCAGGTGCTCACGGGTGGCCGGCTGCCCGTCGGGCCGGCGCCAGAATTCCTAGGTGGGGGCAGCAAGAGTGGGTGAGGACCCCGGGCTCTGCCCGTCCCCGCTTCTAGGCACTGACCCAGGGCTAGGAGGGGAGGGCGGGGGTGAGGGGCAGCAGTGTCAGTGCCAGTCTCCAAATCAGAGCGGAGGGTGGGGTAGGGTCAGATCCGGTGCCAAGGCCAAGGGCCCCTCACCTCTCGGAAGACGATCTCATAGCTCTTCCTCTCCGGTCCCTGCAGAGCCGGCTGGGTGGCCACCAGCATGATGTTGTTGCCCTGGAGAGACGCGGGGGGTCAGCAGGGGAGTGGAGTGGCTCTCAGGGGACCGCCACCCGTCTCAGACCCTTCATGCCCCTCGGCCTCTCGCGCTCTGCTCTCTGAAGCGGGTGCTGTCCACCCAGGCAGTGGGGGCCCTGAGCCTAACCCCCAGGGCTGAAGAACGGACACCTGGAAGGTGGGTGGCTTCCACCTGCCCACCGAGGAGTCCAGCGCTCACCGTGATCTGGACGTCGGGGTCAGAGAGCGGGCTGCCCTGCGGGCCTGCCCTGTAGGAGAGGGTGTACCGCAGCCGCCCGCCGTAGGCCGCCACCTGCGGAGAGGCAAGTTCCCGTCACAGGCTGCCCTGCCCTCCCGGGAGTGGGCTTGGACCACCCAGGGAAGGTCGGGCCCACCGGTGCTGCACCGCCCCTCCCCAGGAGGCCAGTGCGTGGCCTGGGGAACAGGCCATCTCTCTGTCCCTCCCAGCCTCACACACGGAAGGACACAGCGCGGCTTCCCTCCGAGCTCCCCGCTGCCTGAAGGTCCAGTCAACGAGCTTCACACCCCTTTACATTTACAGGAATTTCCCCCAGAGGGGACAAGGTAACAGCAGTGACCCAGTGACCGCCACGGGAAGCCTCAAAGCTTCAAGAGCTCTCAGTCGAGGGCGGGCGGAGGCTGAGGGTGCCCTCAGAGGCCTCGCCTCCTGCGTCGGTGAGGTTTCCTCTGCCCAGAATCCACCCTTCTCTGGCTGCAAACCACACGGGGATCTTTAAGGAACGATGCTTCCTCTACACGCAAGAGCCCTCCTCTATTCCAGGGCCTGGCCCTACTCCTCCAGTCCTGGCCAATCTGCACAGCCCACCACTCCCCACTCCCACCCTGCATGGACAAGGGAACCTGGCACTGCCCCTTCTTCTGGACAGACAGAGACTCCCTTCTCCAGTCAGACAAGAAGCTGGAAAATGGCACCAACTGAGCCAAAGCTCTGCTGAGCCCCTGGATCCAGCCATGCCTGATGCTAGAGGTCCTTGGATTCTGCAGTTTAATGAGCCAATAGATGGTTTGTTGCAGACAAGCCTGATGGACTTGGGTTTCTACTGGAAGGAGGAGAAGAGTTTTGGAGCTTGTTAGAGGGGCTTGCATGAGAGTGGCCGAGGCTCCAGCTCACCCCACTGGACTTTCCTCTCTCTCTTCAGCCACCAGGTATTGAGCTGACAGCTCAGTACCACCCCGTGATGCCCACCCCACTGGCTGACCTGCGTGCTCATCCAGTGGTGAGCACGACCCAATCACCTGCTGACTACCTGGCCAGGCCCTGGGCTCCACAGGCCCTGGGGCTGCTCTCTGCAAGCCTGGGATGTGGTTAGGGAGGCAGGGACAGACCCAGACAACAACAGAAACCCCTGCTCTCCTACTGACTTTGGAGGCCAGCAAGGTCACAGCCACATCTAGGACCAACTTTCTAGCAAGTTGTGGGTGCACATGGCGGCACAGTGACGGAGGGGGAGGCCTCTGCAGCCTGAGAGACCTAGGCTCCAACTGCAGCTCTGCTGGCTGTACGTTCTTGGGCAAGTCCCTTAACTTCTCTGAGCCCCACTTTCCTCAAATGGAAACAGGAGGACGCACACCACGCTCAACCACTTGCCCTCACTTCCACCCTGGCTTCAGGAGACGCCCCTACACCTGCGCCCCTTGCCCTGGCGGTCTTGGGGTGTCTCTGAATGTTAACGCATCCCATCTTATGTAGACGCTAAAGAGGCCCCTACATAGCTGTGGGAACCAGGCAGAAGCAATGGCAATGCCAGCACTCAAGTGAAACCCAGGCCGATGATGACAATAACAACAGGGACAATGACCATCAGACCAGGAGCGAGCTTTGGGAGGCCAGGCCCCTTCTGCTGGTACATGACACAGCACGCAGTAAGCACTTTTTGTGTCTGTGTACCAGGGATTTAACCCAGGGGCACTTAACCACGGGGCCACATCCCCAGCCCTTTCTACTTTTGTTTAGAGACTTCGGGTCTGAGTTGCTTTGGGCCTCTCTAAGTTGCTGAGGCTGGCTTTGAACTCATCACCTCCTGCCTCAGTCTCTGGAGAGTGGCTGGGACACAGGGGAGCGTGCCTGGCAGCACTAAGTACTTCATGCTTCTGGAATGAAGGAATGCCATCAAGAGGCACTACCAAGAACAGCAGAGGACACAGGGTCAAGGGAGCCTCTGCAGGGCCTGAGAAGCCTGGCAGGTGAGACAGCCGGAGGGGCCAGGGCCAAGCCCAGGGAAGTCCCCTTCCCGCTGAAGGCCTCAGTCCCCAGATCCGAGCCACAGAGGGCTCTAACAAAGGACCCTCTGACATTTTAGGATTCTCTGCCCCGCTGTGACCCTCCCGATTCCTCGTTACCTTGTCCCCCAGGAAGGCTCGGGGCAGCTGCCAATACCAGAGACTTGCAGGAGACAGAGAGAAGCCTTCGTAGGAGAGAGAGAACTAGGACAGAAGGGCGGGCAGTGAGAGCGCAGGCAGGGGCCGGGGCCTGCGGGCCACGGCGGGCAGGGGAACAGGACCATCCCGCCCCAAGCTCGGGAGGAACTTGCCTCCCGCTCTGGACCCGGGCACCCCAGCTGCTCTAAGTGTGGCCGGGGCCAGCATCTCCCCAAACCTGACCCCAAGATTTAAGCAGCATGTAGGGAAACACTTAAGAACGGAGTGGCCCTTTCACACATATTTAAAAATGTACCACAGCATCGCTAAGGGGCGCGTGATCGACCTAAAGGGAAACTGGACAGAAATGTCGGCCCAGGCAGCGGAGAGATTATGAAGCTGGTTCAAGGCAGCTGGAGTCAGGGTGGAGGTCCCCTGGTGGTCGCCTTGCACATACCTGAGAGCTCACTGGGGAAGACAGGGCAGTAAAGGAGGAAGAGGAGGAGGAGGGAGAGTCGGAGGAGAGAGAGTCGGAGGAGGGCGAGGACGAGTGGGACCCGGGAGCTGCTCGCAGGGCAGGCTGGGGGCGAGGGGGCAGCCCCCGGTGAGGGGAGTGGTCATGGGCGGCAAAGTTGGCAAGGAGCTGCCAGATCTCAGCGTCCATCCGCCTCTGGGCCTCGTCCACCTGGCGCACCGGGAGAGGAGGGATGGAGGAAAGGAGCAGAGACAGACAGAGATGATGCCCGTGAGGGAGGCTCTGCCAGCGCCCCCCACTTCCGTGCACAAAGGCCAATGCCCGCTGCTCCGACGGAACCCTCTGCTCCCCAGGAGCCAGGTGGGCACATCCTGGGAAGGGCCAACTGACTACAGGCTGCCCCTGTTGGGGATAAGCCCTCCAGGGGGTGGCCATCAAGAGGCGGGCAAACAGCTCTGTGCCACCAAGACCAGAAGTGCTGGAGGCCACCCGGGCATCTGGGCAGGGGAAGCTGCCCCTCAGGCCTGACCCTCCACCGGGGCTCATGGCACCAACCCACACCATTTTGTGGCTCTGGAATGTTTCTAGAACTCAGGGATGGACTGGGCACCAGGAGGGGCCCAGATGGGTATGGGGAAAAATGACCCGGGCAGGCCAGGGTCTCAGTCAAAGGCTCTTCCCTGGGGCCCGACAAGCCTGGCCCAGCCAGGCCTGGGTTACCTGTGATGCCCGCTGGGCCTGGCCCCTGCCCTCTGGGGGTCCGGGGATCCTCCCAGATGTCACGGCTGCCCGCCATTGCTCCTCTGAGAGGGACGTGCGGTTCTGACGGGGTGGAGGTCACAGGCCAGCTCAGTCCCTCAGGCTCCCAGAGCTGGAGCCCTGGGAAGGATGTGCTCCCAGGGACCCGGTGGCCAGAGGGGCCACAATGGGAAGAAAGGTGCATGCTCCCGTTTGGGTTGGCACACGGGTTACCCCAGGTGCTAGATGGGCATGTGCACCTGGGGGGTGTTAGTGGTTGCCTGGGGGCAATGCCAGGGAAAGCTGGGGCACCAGGTACGGTCACAAGGATTAGTGTCAAGTTAGTTTCCCTGCCACCTCGGTCACTGTCCTGAGCTCAGGTGGTTGGCACCAGGGTCAGATGACACAGCCAGGGAGGCAGCCAGAGGCACTTGCCCCTGGGCAGCAGCGAGGAGCCGGACACAGCAGTGCCCTGACCCCGGGGCCGTGGGAACGGCCCGAGCTCATGCAGACCCACACTGTCTCGGGCACTGGGCATCTCCACACGCAGGGCGAGGACACCCAGGAACACGCCATGCCTGTCACACCGGCGTCACACCTCCCACAGCGAGGGCCTACCTGGTGAGCCCAGCGCATCCGCGCAAAGTATGCCTCCCTCTGAGTGGCGCGGAACCGCAGGAAGGAGACAGAGAGGTCAGGGCAGCAGGACAGGGCACAGGGAGGCCAGGAGAGAAGGGACCGAGGAAGGAGAGGGACCGAAGGTAGCCAGCTGTGCATGGGCAGGGGACTTGGCTCCGCTCATGGAACAGGGACAGGGGAGCCATAGAGCTTCCCCTCCTAAGTGACCCTGGGGGCAGCGGCTGGAGCACAGGTCAGCAGGGGACTCCTGGGCCAAGCCCCACTTCCTTTGGGTCCCCAGGATGGCAGACAGCTCCAGGAACACCAGGAAAGGCTGCCCCGGTGTCCACCCTAGACCCCTGTCCCCAACACCATCCCACACCACCGTTCCTGGACCCCCTTCAGGGCGATAAAGACAGTCATCCCAGCCTAGCTAGTTTGGGTATTTTTTTTTTTTTTTTTGGTACCAGGGACTGAACTCAGGGGCACTCGACCACTCAGCCACATCCCCAGCCATTTTTTCTTGTATTTTAGTTAGAGACAGGGTCTCCCTGAGTTGCTTAGTGCCTTGCTTTTGCTGAGGCTGGCTTTGAACTGAGATCCTCCTGTCTCAACCTCTCGAGTCGCTGGGATAAAAGGCAGGTGCCACCGCACCTGGCCATATATATGTACTTCGAGACAGCTCCTATATATGCACACACACATATTTGAGACCAAGTTGCTTAGGGCCTTGTTACGTTGCCAAGGCTGGCCTTGGTATTTCAGCATGCCCTGACCCCAAGGATTTCAATCTTTTCACCCCTGCCTCCTGAACTGCCGAGGTTACAGGTGTGTACCACCACACCCGGCTAGTGTAGCACTTTAAGGGCAATCTGAGTGTGAATCCTGCCACTGCCACCTAGGAGCTGTGGGACTTTAGAGAAGTTCCCCAGTCTCTCTTGAGTTTGTTTCCTCATGTAGGAAAGGGGGCAGTGGGACTACCTGGCTCCCACAGTTGTGACTTATGAAATGTGAAACTGCTTGGAACGATGCCTAACATACAGGAAGCACTGGATAAATACGCCCCATAATAAAATTACTACACCCAACACCCAGCACGGAGCCTGCAGTGGAGACAAGTGAATTTAGAGGGAGCAAGTGGATGAAACGGAAACCGTGTCCCATTTGTCCCTGTGTCTCAAGGGCCTGGCCTGGAGCCTGTTTGCTGGAAACTGCACAAAAGCTCATCACTGTTAGCAGCTGAACACACAGTGTGCCAGGCTCGGTCTCCAATCCTCCAGCCACCCGGAGTGGAGGGCTATGAGGAGGTGTCCTGCCAGCAGATGGCAGAGCTGAGGTTCACCCCCAAGGTCACACACTGAACCACCATGTGGTGGCCGCCCACCAAGACTCCCCCGGGGTGAAGTGTGTCTGAGTCCCCGTGGACCCAGGTGCTCGGGGAGGGTCTGCAGCCCCCCACGGGTCCCACCTTGTCGCCCTGGTAGGCCTCCGGCAGCTGCCAGTAGAAGGACTCATGGCCAAGTTGGGCGAAGTTGGCGAAGGAGAGCTGGGCGCCCTCGGGCACAGGCTCCACGGTGAAGCCTCCCGTCAGGCGGCTGTTCCGCTGAGGGTTCACCAGGGCAAAGCCTTGGAAGTCCCCAGGGGCAAAGCGGGTGTCGATCTGGCAGCAGAGAGAGGATCAGGTGTCATTCTAGTACAGGGCAGGCATATGGGGACAGGGGACAGGGACAAAGGTTATCAGGACAGGAAATGGGGCCTGCTGAGATCAAGGGAGACGTGGGGGGGCACATCAGGGTGGAGGATGGGGAGATGCAGGGCTCAGGCTGGAAAGGGCATAATGGGGGCACAGGGAGGGTCTAAGGACGGGGGTCAGTGTCACTGGGCGTGGGCCTGGGACGGGGCAGTACAGGGGGCTCAGGGATGGCTGTCCTCACAGGCAGCCGGGACTTGGCTGCGCCAGGCTCCTGGCTGGCCTCAGGGAGCAGCAGGGAGTGGCGGGCCGTGTGGCTCTTACCAGGTGGCGGGTGTAGGAGGAACTGGCACACTGCTGGGTGACTCCCATGCAGAAGCAGGGCAGGCAGCCGTCCGGGTGGCCGGCGCTCAGGTGGAAGTGGTGGGGCCGGCAGCGGCTGCAGGTGAGGCCCTCCACCTGTGCCTGGGTGGGTGGGTAGAGCATGTGTGCGGGAACTCGGGGGTCTCCTCACTCCCAGCAGCAGCCCCCGCACCCCCAGTCCCAGTCCCCCCACCCCGCTCAGGGGCCTTGGAGTCCCTCCCACTGGGGGGCGCAGGCCCGGCACTGACCTTGCACTGGCACTGACCGGCAGCATCACACTGGTTACTGATGCTGCCCTGAGGGTCACAGCCACAGCCTGTCCCCTCTGGTGGCTGGCCATCTCCTGAGGTGGAGGAAAGCCGCAGCTGGAGCCCCCAAGCCCACCCAGCACCCCCAGCCCCACTGCTGAGCATGCAACCGCACCAGGCACCCAGTTCATCTCTGAGGTCAGAGAGGTAAAGCCACGGGACCCAGGTCACAGGGGAACAAAGGATCTGCCCTGGCGCCACCCGGGAGAATGGGTAGCCCGACCTTACAACCCTACTCACTCCGGCAAGGCTGGCCCTGGCTTGGGTTGCCATAGTAACCTGGGGCACACCTGCAGAGAGAGCAGAAAGCTGGGGAGCCTGAGAGGGCAGGCCTGGGGTGGGCGCCTGTGTTTGGACTCCATGTCCCCCAGGTGCTGGAAGAAACCATTTAGCCCAACTCATCATCGTACAGATGAGGAAACAGACGGGAAAAGGGCAGGAATGTGCTCTAGGCAGTGGGTCAGCCAGATGGGACCTTGGCCCCAGGACCTGCGGCAACAGGGGTCTCCTGGGAAGAGGGGTCGGGTGGGACAGGGGTGCTGGGGCTTGAAGGTGAGCTGCAGGCCGGCACAGCTGAGGCCTTCGAGGCTCGGGACACCTGGCTGGAGGTGGAGGCTCCAGGGAAGGGAGCTGACTGCCTCCGGGGGCCCGTGCAAGGAAGAGCGGGAGGCCCCTGGCTCCTCCTGGACAGGACGGTGGGCCCACCTGAGGACTCGAGGAGACCCTCCTACACAGCTTCACCTTCCCGTCCCTGCCTCACCTCTCACAGTGGCGCCCGCTGTGGCCTGGCGAGCACGAGTCACAGGTCGGGTGGCCGTCGGTGTCCAGAAAGCAGGTATGGGCAGCCCTGAGAGCATGGGGCAAGTTCCCCGTGAGGCAGGCTGCGGGCCCTCCTCTCCCCAGGCACCTCCCTTGGACCCAGGGAGGAGAGGGAGGAAGGGCCATGCTCAGAGTTCCACGAGCTCCATTCTGCTCAGCTGTCACACAGGGGCTGATGTGGGGTGCTGTCCCCGTTCGCAGATACGGTGGAGGCTCTGAAGGTGAAGTGTGTCTTCCACCAAGTGACAGGGCGGGGAGCCTAAGACCGGTTTACCCTCTGCCCCTCAAGAGGACCCGGAGGGACGGAGTGTGGCAGGGGTGGGTACACAGGAAGGGCAGGGGCGGGACGCACTGGCCGGCAGCAGGGGCTCCGTAGCATGGGCACGGCTGGCAGTCCTGTGGCGTGCCCCGCTGGGCATCCCCGTAGTATCCTGGCTGGCACTGCTCACACCGGGGGCCCACTGTGTGGTGCTGGCAGCCCTGGGGGGACAGAGCACTGGTTGAGGCCAGGTCCCTGAAGGCCACAGATTCCTGGGGCAGAGAGGAAGGGGGCGGGGCTCACCTGGCAGGCACCAGTCTCAGGCTCACAGACCTCCGAGTGGCCGTGGCAGCTGCAGCGTTCACAGGTGCCCAGGTAGAGGCCGCTGGGCATGCGTGTGTAGCCTGTGTCACATTCCTGGGGACAGGAAGATGGAAGGGGTATGAAGCTGGGGGGGGCCTAGGGAGGGGTGGGGGAGGGGGGAGCACATTGGATGGGGCTGCTGGACAGGTGCTGGCCTGGAGCTCACCTGGCAGGACGGGCCCCGGTACCCAGGCGGGCAGGTACAGTGCTCCACCTCCAGCGCAGGGTCCTGGCCAGTGTCCTCAGGCACGGCCACATCCATGCTGATGCCAGAGACCCTGAGCACGACAAGGCCACTGAATGAGCTGCTTGCTCTGGGCCAGGCACGCCTGGGGTCCTACACTTGATGGCCTCGTTTGTGCTCCAATGTCACGATGCTGTGTGGCCCTGTCCAGATGCCTGGCTCCTTCCCCAGCAGCTGCCTGGGCCCAGGCAAGTGGCTCACACCTGCAACTTTCTCCAGTGAAGTACCCTTCCTTGCCCACGGGTTACACCCCAGCTCCCCAGGTGACCAGTCCGAGGCCATTGACCTGCCAGAGCTCCCTTGGGGGAGGTGGGGCCAGACTCGACCAGAGCCACAACCCTGCTTGGTCCCTTCCTCCCTGTGGGTTCACCGTGGGAATCACATGTAACGGACTCCAGTCCCTGACCAGAGCCAAGGCCCGTGAGGGAAGCGGTCAGTATGAGCTCCGTTTGACAGACGGAGAGAACAAGACACGGAAAGGCCATGTGGCCTGTAAGTGGCAGAGCTGGCTAGCAGGCTGCGCCCTGTTGTACCAACTGGACGACAGCCCCCCTCCTGAGCCCCCTGTCCTCCTGCCCAGGCCCTAGGCACCTGCTCTCAGAGGGCTTCTGGGTGTAGGATGCTCGGATCAGGAGGGCATCGATGCCCGCCAGCGCCATCAGCAGGTGCTCCCGTGTGGCCGGCTGTCCATCAGGCCGCTGCCAGGCTTGCTGTCAAGGAAAGGACAAGTTACTTAACAGCCGACTTCCCAGGGGCCTGTCCCCACCCGCCCCAGGCAGGGCCCCGCGCAGGCGGCTCACCTCCCGGAAGGGCACAGTGAAGGCGCTGGGCTGGCCGGGGCCAGGCTCCCGGGCACTGTGATGCTCCAGGACGATGCCGTTGCCCTGCAGCACCACCAGCGGCTGCCCGTGCAGGGGCACAGAGCCCGGCTGGGGCCGCTGGGTCACTGTGAAGCGCAGCTCTCCTCCGTAGGAGGTCACCTGCGACACGGGCAGATGGGTGCTCAGCGGAACCCCCACCACCACCCCAGCCACCTCTCCCAGGCAGGGAATCTCCTCCTGCTCCCAAGACACCGCGACCCTCCAGCTCCCAATCCTGGATCGTGCCGTTTCTGATGCTTGCTTCCTTTTCCCTTCCCACCCCTGCCCACCTTGTCCCCCCGGAAGCTCGAAGGGAGGCTCCAGAAGTAGGGTCCAGACAGGAGGCTGTGGAAGGAGGAGAAGGCCAGCTCCCCGGGCATGGGGGACGAGATGCCCTCGCTGGTGGTGTGGGCGCCTGCGGCATCGGTCAGGCTGAAGTCGCTGGGCTCCGAGGAGGCCCCCAGCACCTGCGAGAGGAGAAGGGGCCGCAGTGGGGCTGTGGCCTGAGACCCATCCTGGTTTGCCGCCCTGGGCCTGTCATCCTGCCCGCTGGCCGCCCGCCCACGGCTGGCTACCTGGGCGCGTCTCCAGGAGGAGCTGGTGCACTGGCGGCTGACACCCATGCAGAAGCACTTGAGGCAGCCATCGGGGTTCCGGGCACTCAGGTGGAAGGAGCCGTGGGCACACTCGTTGCACAGACGCCCTACCACGTTGTTCTGCAGGCACAGAGCTGGGAGCTGCAGGACAGCCCACGGAAGGGGCTGCCTGGAGCTTCCGGTTGAATCGTCCCACAGTCTAGATGGGACCCGAAGCCCAGTAGAGTCATCAAAAGACAGATCGTGTCACCGCTATCTGAACAATACCTCTCCGGTTAACAGAAGCTTATGCAACCCTTTCCCCCTTTTCTCTCTGCCTTCTAGGAGGCTCCCAAAAAGTTTAGATGTGAAACAGACAATTTGATGAAAACCACTGCTGTTACAATTTATGGCACTGGGCTAATTAGTCATCACCTTACTTACACCCCTGAGTGCCTCTACAGGTAGGTACAGCTATCTCCAGCCTTTGGAGGGAGGAGACAAGAAATGACTGCTCAAGGTATTAAAGACCTGGAGTGCCTGACTCGAGACTCTGCTCCACTGACACTGGACTCTCCCACCCTTATTGCAAGTGACTCCTTTTCTCAGAGCCTCCGTCTCCTGGTAACTTAGGGATGACAGCACCTGCACCACCGTCTCAGCGTGAGGACTGACCGTGTGGTGGGGACAAGGGCTTAGTGCAGACCCGACAGCACAGGCCTGCTCCAAGGACAGCTGGAGCCTGACTCCCTAGCCAGCGCTGCGGACGGAGGCCAGGCCACCTCTCAAGGTGTGGAAGACCAGACAGCCAGGCCCATCAGCCTCCAGCTAGATACCACCCACGGGCCAAGGCAGGGGAGGACGGAGCCTCCTCCTCCCTCGCCTGGCGGAGGTGCCAGGCCCCGGCCTGGGTGGGGTGGCGTGCGTACCTTGCAGCGGCAGGCTTCTCCAGCGGTCCCCATGCTGCCCCGCTCATCACAGCGCACAATCTCCTGGTCTGGGGACACGAGGTGGGTGTTGGCAGGGCAGGCTGGGGTGGGACTCGGTTAGGACAGGCAGACCCCGAGGATGCTGGGGTGTGGGCTGGGCTGCAGGGGGAGGTGTCGGGGACGTGGCCGCCATACTCACTGGTGGGCTTGCACTTCCCGCCAGGCTGGATGGGGTTGCCCTGGTAGCCAGGGGCACACCTGGGGGAGAGTGGGCGGTGAGCAGCTCTTCTGCGCCCCACCTGTATAGCCCACCTCCCGCCACCGGCTCCCCTCACCTCTCACAGCGGCGGCCTGTGTAGCCAGGGGCACAGGTGTCACAGGTGGCTTGGCCATCGGTATCCAGAAAGCACGTGTCAGAGAATCTGTGGGTGTCAAGGGGGCAGCGCATGGGGCAGGCTGGGGGCCAGGCCCTGCACTCCCCTGGGGAAAGGACCACCTGTTCCTGATCTGCAGTGACCGCAGGAAGCCAGAAAGGGAGAGTGAGAGCCAGAGAGGCCCCAGGGCATGAGCACAGGACAACTCAGGGACCAGTCTCCCGCCTCCCTGCCCAGAGCACGGCCCCAGCCCAAACACGAGCCGAGTCTGACCTGCGGGAGGCATCGATGTATGGGCAAGGGCAGGGCCGGCAGGCGGTGGCTGTGGCCTTGGTGGCATCCCCAAAGAAGCCAGCTTTGCATTTGTTACACTGGGGTCCCTCCGTGTTGTGCTGGCAATTCTAGGAGGGCAGGGAGAAGGAGGGCTCAGAGTCTGCGGCAGAACTGGCCAGGGGGCTGGGTGGGCCTTGGAGGCCGCCCGGCTCAGCCTCCCGCATCGGGCTGGAAGTAGTTAGTCCACAGCCTTGCGGAGTGTCTAGCGACGTCCTCTCACCGGTGACAGGCTCGCCCCCCAGGGCAGCCAGTCTCATAGGTGGTTCCAAAAGCCTACTTTATAAGGACTTAACCACCACCCACTTCCACTCTGCACCCACAGGCCAGATCTGCCCCTGGGGGCACGCAGGCCTTTGCCCCTGGAGGGTGCTCAGGGATTTGAAGAGAGCAGTTCCGCCCACCTCGAGCCTTCTCTTCTGTCGGCACCAACCATCGAAGTTCCTCTCTGTTCTTTTTCTTAAAAATTTTTTAGTTGTCAATGGTTGCTGAGGATCAGACCCAGGGCCTCACACATGCCAGGCAAGTGCTCTGCCTCTAAGCCACCACCCAGCCCCTCCTCCACTATTCTTAAGAAATAAAATTGACATCTACCCTTTTCCTTGGGGATGCCCCTGGAAGACCCACGCCCCACACAACTCTCTCTGGGATCAGTCTGATCAGGGCGGAAGGGAATGAGAGCTTCATGTCCCTTGTCTGGACACTGTACCTCTGTCCATGCATCTAAAGGCCATGGTAGTTTGTCCGGCAGCGATGCGGGCACAGGGAGCCTCACACCTGCCCTTGCCCCTGCCCCCTTCCCCCTCCAGTGCCAAGTGCCAGCTGGCCCTACTCACCAGACAGTGGCCATATACAGGATCACAGGAGCTGGCATGGCCATTGCAATTGCAGCCAGAGCAGGTGCCCAGGTAGGGCCCACCAGGCACCCGGGTGAAGTGGGCATCACAGCTCTCGCAAGACAGGCCAGAATAGCCGACGGGGCACCTGTGGGGGCAGGATTGAGAGAGGGGCTGTGGAAACGTCCAGGCCCGGCTGTCTCTCCTCCGCCCTTGTCAGGGTCCTGGGGTCCCCGCCAGGCCAGGTCAGGCACCTGCACTCCTCTACGCTGTGGGCACGGCCGTGGCTGGTGGGATGGGTGACGGTGGTGTCCATGGTGACGTCGCTGAGCCCCACACTGGCCATCTTGGCGTTGTAAACCGTCTGCAGAAGCACGGCCTCCAGGCTCCGTAGCACCTGCAGCATCTCGGCCCGCTGCACCGGCCGGCCGGACTCGTGCACCCAGTGCTCCTGGTGGCAGCAGAGTGGCAGAATGATACACCAGCACCTCCCAGCGCACCCCACCTGCCCTTGGCTCAGGTGCCCCTCACCTCAGAGAGCTGGACTTGGCGCTGGTTCACGGCTCCGGGCTGGGTGGGCTTGTGGCCTCGGGAGAGCAGGCGATGCCCGGCACCCACCAGGACCACGTCTGGCCGCTGCACTGGCTCCAAGAGGCCACGTGCCAGCTCATAGCGCACCTTGTAGCGCAGGAAACCACCATAGGAGTCCACCTGGTGGACACAGGGCAGATCAGTGCAGGGCAGCTGTGGGCATGTGGTGCCCGGTGCCCCTCCATGAGCAGCCTGCCCGGCCTCTGGCTCCCCCCCACTTCTGCCTCCCTGTTGCTCCCAGAGGGCTTGGTGCTGAGCAAGGAGGCAAGAGTCCAGCTCTGCCTCTGGGGTGCTCAGTCCGTGGCAGCAGCTCCATAACGCTGTGCCCCAGGAGGCCGAGGCGGGGACGCTCACGCAGCCTGGGTTTGACGGTGGTCAGGGGAGGCTCCCTGGATGAGAGGATGCCAGCCCTTTCCCGAGGCTGAGGAGAGTGGTGGGCAGAGATCCTGCCCTGCATGAGGAGCTGCCGCCCGGGGCTGTGCCAGGGCCCGAGCCACCTTCCCCTGGCAGCAGACGCTACACCAGCAGAGCACAAGTGGGTTCAGAGGACGGGAGGAGCGCTCGGCCTCTCCTGCCCAGGGCAGCCCGGCCGCACCTTGTTGCCCAGGAACTGCTGCGGCAGAGACCAGAAGGAGTCGTGGATGAGGAAGCGGCGCGACAGGTCCACCAGCTGGAACTCCTGCAGGGCGGGGTCGATCTGCAGCTGCGTGGAGGACAGCGGCGGCATGCCGGGCTGGGAGGGCATGGTCACGTTCACACCTGCAGGGGCGAGGGCGGGCTGAGGGCCGCAGCATGTGTCTGAGAACATTCACCTCGGGGGCAGGAGTCTAGAAGGGTGGGCAAGTTCTAGGGGAAACCCGACTTAGAGAAAACTGTGGTCTCTCTCCCAAGTTAATAAAAAGCATGACAGCTCCCCTTCCAGTCTTGACTTCCTCCCGAAGATTCGGGCAGTGCTCCCCAGGCACACTCCGGGAGGGCAGAGCCATTTTGGGCACTGCAAGATCAATGAAAGGTCGGGGGATTCTTTGCAGCGGGAGCGGGACTTCTCAGAGCCTTTTGCTTGGTAAGAGATTCATGGACTGTCAGGCTTGGGGCAGCCCAGCGGGGGCAGTAGAGAGCCACGAAGGACCAAAGACCAACCCTGGCTGTTCCGCGCTCCGAATGCATGAGTGTGGGGCAGAGGCCTCAGTTTCCCTGCCTGTAAAATGCTGCTAACAGTGGCCCATCTCTTAGAATTATTATGAAGATAAAATGAGCAAATTTAAATTGATTTCAAATGCCTAAAAACAGGTGCACTAAAGGGGTGATCAAAAACTGGCGCGCCCTGTGATCCCAGCCACTCGGGAGGCTGAGGCAAGAGGATAGCAAATTTGAGTTCAGCCTCAGTGATTTGGCAAGATCTTATCTCCAAATAAAAAATAAAAAGGTCTGAGGTTGTAGCTCAGTGGCAGAGTGCTCACCTAGCACGTGAGAGGCACCACATAAAAATAAATAAAATAAAGTCATTATGTCCATACACAAATACAAAAAAATAAATAATAAATAAAAATAAAGGGCTGGAGACGTACCACGCTGGTTGGTGGACCTCTAGCAGATGGGGAGCCCGTTGCTCCCCAAGGCCGTCCTGGCTCTGGACAGATTTTTTTTTTTGTACCAGGGATTAAATTCAGGGGCACTCGACCACTGAGCCCCATCCCCAGCCCTATTTTGTATTTTATTTAGAGACAGGGTCTCACTGAGTTGCTTAGCACCTCGCTTTTGCTGAGGCTGGCTTTGAACTCATGATCCTCCTGCCTCAGCCTCCCAAGCCGCTGGGATTATAGGTATGCACCACCATGCCCCACTATCTGGACAGTTTTGACTCTTAGAAAGTTCTTCCTTACACTGAATCCACATCTGTCTGTCAAAAGCATCAACACTTGATCCTGAACATGGAGAAATCCAGCCCCTTGTGCAGAATGACCACAGAGCACTGGATCCAGGCTCCACCACCCAGGCCCTTCCTCTCCTTCCTGGGGATGCTTTCAGGGCCCCTCCTCCTTCTCAACCCCCCCCCACACAGGCCACCTGCTTGGTTTGGAATCCTCGATGCCCTGACCATCCACATTCCAACCAGAGAGCCCTGGTTTCCTGCTCTGCCTGTAAATAGTGTGTGACCCCGACAGCCTGCCTGCCTCCCCGCCTCCTCTGGCCTCCAGCTTTCCATTTGAAATCCCCAAACAGCCCTGAGCGAGCAAACACTACTGGCGTTCTCTGATTGGCCACGGGAAGCCAAGGTGCCAAGTGCATGCTCAGCAAGGGGGGCCGTTAGTGGTCTAAACACAATGGAGGGCAGCTGTGGGAGGCTCCACGCGACCCTCTGTGGTCCCCAACTGAAGAAGTAGCACGTCAGGCAAGATTCGTTGGGGGCTCAGTGCACAAGGAGCGACCCCTAGACCTGCATTCTCCACGCTGCAGGAAGGGAACAAGGCTCGGCAAGGAGGGGCTGCCTGACGTGGGGGGGAGGGGGGAGATGGCACCACTGAGACCTGAACCCAGGTCAGCCTGATGTCCGGTGTCCTCTTAGCCGCCCAGCCAACCTGCTGTCAGAGTGACAGAGGATTAAGTTCCACTGCTGGCCTTTATATTTGGGGAAAAAGTCCCAGAGGAGGAAAATGACTGGCGCACTGTCACCCAGGCAGTAGAGCAGGGCAGCCCTGGGCTGGGAAGAGGCCAAAGCCTGGGCTGTCATACTCCAGCGACCCCCGGCCCCTCTCAGACTCAGAACAAGGTTGTTGAGAACTAAGATGACAAAATTTCCCAAGTATCAACTACCTACCTGCCTGGGACCAAGTATTGTCCTACGTGACCTACATGACCGACCGTCAGGCCTTAGAAAAACCTAGGAGTGACTGATGCTCCCCTATTTATGACCTAATGATGTGTCTACTTATTATTTTGACACAGGGTCTCCACAAGTTGCCCAGGTTGGTCTCAAACTTGCAATCCTCCTGCCTCGTCTCCCGAGTAGCTGGGATTCAGGTGTAGTGGTGCAGGCTCACACCCCCACTTTGTAGATGGACAGATTGAGACACAAGCTGATAAGGAGACCGAGGGCGCTCAGGCAGCAGGACGTGCAGCAGGAGACTGGCCCCTGTCTTCTCCATGGCCGGGAGCGTCCCAGGCCAGGTGTGGTATGGCTTTTCCTGAGTGTTTGCTTTTCCTGAGATGCTTCCCTTGCGGGGCCCGGTATTTCTTCAGCAACCCCGTGTCCCTCCCTGCCCGCTGGTCCTGGTCTGTCCAACACATACTGGCCCCCACGTGCCCTCTCTGTGTCCACCGGGGTCTGGAGCCGCGTCCCACAGCTCCCGCTCACACACGCACCCTTGAAGTCGTGGGGCTGGTCAAACCGCAGCTGGATCTGGTCCCGGAAGCGGCTGCTGCTCTGGCACACACTGGTGACCCCAAAGCAGAAGCAGGGCAGGCAGGAGGCGCTGGGCTCCAGGTAGAAGTGTCCGTCGGGGCAAGGGCCTGTGGGGCGGCAGGGCAGAGTAGCAGTGAGCCACGGCAGGGGGCAGGTGACCCTACGCCACCGGGCGCTAGTGCCCCTTCCTGCCCCACCCCCACCCCCGCCCCGGCAGCGGCACCTCGCTGGGGGATGAGCTCCAGGACTCCGTCGGGGATGCCGAACACCATGCCTCGCGCGTTCATGGCCTCACAGGTGTAGGCGCCCTGGTCTGCTTCCTTCACGTCGTGGATGGTCAGTGTGCCACGGCCACCCTCGGTGGTCATTGTCACCCTGGTGGGCCCAAGACAGTCGTGGGTCAGGCCTGGGCCACTGGTGGCACTGCTTCTATACCCTTGGCACCCCCACTTGGGCCCAGAGTCACACCTGGGATGAGAGGGGATGTGGCCCCAGTTGAGTCTCCAGTTGATGATGGGGGTGGGGACACCAATGGCCACACAGGTGAAGGTCACTGTCTGGCCCCGGGAAGCCTGGATCAACTCCTGGGGAGGGGTCACCACCTGGGGAGGCACTGGGGAGACGGGAGCAGGAGTGAGGGGTCGGAGGGGTGACATGGAGAGGAAGGGTCCCCGCGGAGCCCAGAGGGGGAGGGGCAGTGGCTGGGCCTGGAGAGGGGCCAGCAGAACCCTGCCCAGAGCCAGGCCCGCATCTCGCCCCCAGGTCCCTGCTCACTGCAGCCAAACTCGTCGCTGCGGTCGGGACAGTCGCTCTCCTCGTCACAGTGGAAGCTGGCGGGGATGCAGGCGTTGGTGGAGACACAGCGGAACTCCGTGGGCTTGCACACATCCTCAGGGTGACCGGCAGCTGGGGGACAGAGTGGGTGGTGGTGTGGGCACCAGGGCACTGCCCACAGGCAGCTCCCCGTCCCCTACCCACCTCAACACCCTCCTTGCCACCTTCCTCAGAGGTCCCCAAGGTCACTATGTCATCTCACCTTGGTGAGCTGCCCTCACCAGGGCCGGCCACTGCTGTCACATCATGGCCAACAGTGTCATGTCCAGCAGGACACAGTCGCAAGTCTGCCACCAAACAGCTCCTTACACACCCGCCTCCACCACTTAATCCACTGCATTCCCCAAAACGGACCCTACCCTGCAGGTCAGAGCCCAGCAGTGTCACCCAGGCTGCTGAGGCGTGGACGTTTGTCCTGCAAAGGCTCATGGGTTGGGAGTCTGGTCCCCATGTGGTGAGGTGGACCTTGAAGAGCTGGGGCCTAGGGGCTGGGGCTGGGGCTCAGCGGTAGAGCGCTCGCCTAGCAAGTGGAGGGCCTGGGTTCATCCCCAGCAACACATAAGAAATATATATATATATAATAAAGTTACTGTGTCCAACTACAACTAAAAAATAAACATTAAAAAAAGAGGTGGGGCCTACTGGGGGTCCTTGGGCCCTCGTGGGGGTGCCCTGGGAGGGACTGCAGGAGCCCAGTCTCTCTCTCTCTCCTGTTTCAAGATGTGAACTCTTCCTCCCACACATGCTCCTTCATCTGCTAGGAGATGATGCAGCCAGGGGGGGTCCTCTCCAGAGCCCACATGATGCTGGCTGGACTTTCAGCCTCCCAAACTGTGAGCTAAGTAAACCTCTTTTCTTTATAGCTAGCCTGCCTCATGTACTTCATTATAGTGATGAAATACAGACCAACACCCAGACCTCATATATTCAGTCACCCTCCGTTACAGAAGTGCCACCTTGAATAATCAAGACCCTCAAAGAGGCTGGCACCTGCAAATATAGGTAACCCATACTGCGCTCTCTATGAGCCTCCCCACCTGGGTAACTGCCAGATATCAGCAGTGTCCAAAGCATTGGCAAGAGGAATAGGTGGTGGATAGATGGCGGATGGGAGACAAATGGATGGAGGGCTGGAAGATGGAGAGAGGACGGATGGGTGGACGGTGGCCTGCGTGGGAGGGAGGACGCTGGGTAGCTGGTAAATAACTGGCTGAGGCTCTGGGTGGCAAATGACAGGCAGGAGGCTGGGTGAATCAGGGGGTAGATGGTTGAACGAATGACCAGATGGGCCAAGAGCCGGATGATGGGGGAGCAAATAACAGAACCAGCCTTAGGTGAGAAACCTCTAGGCCTGTACCATGGTCCGACTGTGTCCGACATTCACGTGTTAGAAACTGAATCCCAGCCCACAGCCCGAGAGGTGGGACCCTGAAGAGGTGACTGGGTCCCAAGAGCTCTGCACTCAAGCATGGGCTACTGCTACCATCCCAGGCATGGGCTGCTATTAAAAAGGATGGCTGGTCCCCTCTTATTGACACTCTGATGCCTTCCTCCATGTTAGGTTGCAGCGAGGAGGCCCTCACAGGCTGTGGTCCCTCAGTCCTGGATTTCCCAGCTTTCAGTGCTGTGAGTTCTCTAAACTGTTTTTGCTTATAAAGCACCGAGTCTCAGGTGATCTGTTACAGCAGCAGAGAATGGGCAAAGCCAGCCCATAGGGGAAGACTCTGATGCACACACACATCAAGGTCCCCATCATCAAGGTGACCAGGTGTATTAGCCCTCAGTCATTTATCTGACCCCCGTGCAGGCCAGGAGCAAAGAAGAGACTAAAGACCACAAAGACTAAAGGTAGGTGCCCAGAGCAGGAGTCCTCACTGCTTGATGCCTATGCTGAGGCCTGCCCAGCATCAGGGAAGGTGGCACCCTGCGAGGTAGAGGTGCAGCAGGAGTGGGCTGGGGTGGGTGGGAGCAGGGGTGCCACCCAGACCCTGGGACACTCACGGCAGTCGGCCTCGTCCGTGTGATCCTTGCAGTCAGAGTCGCCATCGCAGCGCCACAGCTTGAGGGCACAGTGCCCATTTCCACAGGCGAACTCGTTGGGCTCACAGGGCGGCGGGGGCTCTGTGGGCAGCAGGCGGGGTTCAGCAATGGCTCCCCCAGCGCCCCACGCCAGACCCCCGCACCCCGCGCTCACCGCAGCCCAGCTCGTCGCTGCCGTCCTGGCAGTCCTCCTGCCCGTCACAGAGGTAGTCCTTGAGGATGCAGTGCCCACTGTGGCACATGGCCTCCTGAGGCCCACAGGGCACGGGGCTGTCTGGACTGGGCAGCAGAGGATGGGGAGCCAGGGTCTCTGGTGGCCGCCGTGTGGGGGCCGCCTCTGGCCAGGGCAGTTGAGGTGTCGCCTCCACCACTGGTGGCCCGGGGCCCAGCTCCGGGACAGGCTCCTCTGTGGACAGAGCCCTTGGTGTTGAGCCCCACGTCCCTCAGACCCTCCCTCATCCCTCAAGCCCACTCCCTGCCACGCTTAGCACCCCAGCCCCGACTACGACACCCTTCCCTGTCTCCCTGGGCCAGCACCAAACTCTCTCAGCCCCAGATCGACTCTGGGACCCAGTCATAGGCACCTGACCCTCCACAGCCACCTGTGTCCCCAGACAGCCGCTCACCACAATCGAGCTCATCGGACATGTCCCTGCAGTCAGGTCGCCGGTCACAACGATACTCCAGGGCCACACACTCATTGTAGCTGTGGCAGGCAAACTCGGCCTCGGTGCAGACCCTGGGGAGCTGGGGCACTGTGGGGGTGCAGGGAGTCAGGGCGCAGGCGGGAGGCTGCGGGGCGTGCGGCAGACGGCACGGGCACCGCGTGGCTGTGAGTGGGCTTGGGCGCCCAGCATCAGGCCACTGTGGCAGACACGGCCGGGACAGGAGCACTCGGTGGACACACCCACAGCACGCACAGGCACGGGACAGTGGCAGTGGCCTCGCCCACCCTCACATGGACCTACACACACTGCATGCCACACACATGCAGGCACTGCACGCACACGGCGGGCCACAGCCTGGCCAGCAGGGACAGGGAGGGCGAAGGCAGCCGCAGGCTCCGGCCCTCCTCCCCTCTGCCCGTGACATTCTCTAGGTGTCCCGCTGGACCCCAGCCGGGCTCACACTCTCACCTGGTGTCACTGCAACCCCCACAGCGGCCAGCAGGGGTGGGGGGGTCTGTGCTGGAAAGGAAGGTGTGGTCAGCAGCCATCCCCCCCGGGGCCTGGCGCTGAGGGCCCGGCCATCCCACCCTCGGCCCCCAGCCAGGACTGGTTGAAGCTGGGTGAGGAGGGCGGCCCACCATCTTCAGGCCCGGGTCAGGGGATGCCAACCAAGCGAGCTTGGTCCTGGGGGCAGTGCAGAGGGTCATAGTTCACTGTTCTCCTCCTGGTTGGGCTAAGCCATGGCAGGAACGGAGTTTGTCCTGTTGTGGGTTCCACTGAGTCACAGGGAGGTGACATGTTGGGGCCTCTCCAGAGAGGAGATGGCTGGGAGTCAGAGCTGAGAGGAAGGAACTGAACTCGCATACGGAAGACTAGACTGCGGTCAAAATGGGAGTCGTGACCCTGAGCAGGAGGGCCAGGCTTCCGCGTCCAACACCTGTGCCCCTTTGGCCAGTTTCCGGTTCTCTCCAAGCCTCTTCTCACCTGGTCACATGCTATGGCCACAGGTTTGGTTTCCATTCTCGCCCCTCCACTCTCTGCCTGCACGGTGTGGACCAGCCCCCTCCTTCCCGGGCCTCAGCCTCCTCATCTCCAAAACACGAGGACGCTGTTTCCCAGGGACTGCTAAGCAGCCTGGATGCAGGGGCCTGGCATAGCCTCGGTGCTCGGGAAACAACCGTGGCTGGGTGCAAGTTTGTGGTGGTGTGGTCAGTGGACAAATGTCTGCACGGGGTGGGCAGGAATGGGGTCTGGTGGGTGCACGTTGAGCACGTAGTGTTCCGCCCCAGCCGACACCCCACAGGGCCCATGGGGCAGCTCAGGAGGTAGTGAGCTCTCTGTGCCTAGTGGAGGACAAGCCCAAACCAGGAAAGCCCACAGTGGAGACACCAAGAGGGGACCCACTCAAGTCTAAGAAACCAGAGCAGGTGACCCCAAGTCCCAGAATAGGCTCACCTGTGCCCAGGCGTCGGAACTGGAATCCCTGGGGGGAGGTGACATAGGAGTCGATGGAGCCCCTGGAGATGACCGTGTGCAGCACTTCCTGAATCTGAGCCCCGTCCGCATTCCCTTCTGAGCCCACGTCCAGCTCCACGAAGACCCAGCCGTCCAGCTCCCTGGGGTGGGAAGGGGCAGGGGCAGGGGGAGAGAGAGGCCTGTGTTCTCGGCTTCTCCATTCAGCCCTGCCAGGCCCAGGCCCCATCCAGCACAGCCTGGGCCCAAAGCAGGGCCATTCAGTGTCCAAACTCCCCCCCTCCAATTCCTGACCTTTCACCCCAGTGATTCTCCCATCAGGCCTTTCGTGCCCAGGCTCCTCTGCCATCCCCTTGGCCCCTGCAGGCGCCCCAGGCCCCCCGAGCCCCAGGGACCCTTCTCACTTGATGAATACCACGCTGACCACCTGGTCTCCCGGGATCTTCAAGTACTCCGACTCCAGCTGCGGAGGGACACGGCACCGTCATCCCCGGCGCCTTCCCCTGCCCACCCGCCATCCGCAGGGGGCTCCCCGACCCTCCACTTGCCTTGTCCACCACAGCCTCCGACACCGCCCGGAACTCCCTGGAGCCCGCGTCCTCCAGCCGAGGGCTGTACTCGATGGAGTGGGTGAAGTTCACCAGGGCCCGGAAATAAACTGGAAAAGAGGGGAGGCCTGCCAACGTGAGGGCCTGGCCTGGCACGGGGGGCCTCCGGCTGCTGGACGGATGGCGGAAGGGGGAGCCCGGGAGGCCCCCCACAGGCTCACGGAAGCCTGTGAGTCCGGCCCAGCTCGCCCATGGAACCCAGGCTGCGACGGCCTGCGGCCTACCCAGGGCTCAGCGCAGAGGCCCCAGCCCCACAGAGGGGCTTCAACTAAGAGGGCAAAAGGGCTGACCCAGAACCCAAGTGACAGTGCAGGGACCCCAGGGGCTCAGAGGAAGGCTGAACCAGGCACGCGGCTTGCACACAAGGCTGGCCCGACACGGATTCCCCGTGTGTGACAGGGATGTGCCTCTCCAGCCTGGCTGGTCCCCTCATCTGTCCAACGTGGCTCAGCCATTGCCTCCTCCAGGAAGACTGCCCGAGCTGCCCTGGTTGGCCAGGGACCCTCCTCGGGGCTCCCACAGCACCCTTCCCCTGCGCTGCTCAGGCCCTGCTGGGTTACACGCGGACAGTAACAATCCTGGTTCTTTTGTTTTGATTTTTTGAGACAAAGTCTCTTGCTCTGTTGGCCAGGCTGGCCTTGAACTCCCGGTGCTCCCGCCGAGGCTTCCTGAGCCGCTGGGATTACAGGCACGACCCGCTGTGCCCAGCGGAAATCGCCGTTCGGGGTCAGCCACATCTCGGCACCGACTCCAGCTCTGGGCTTCTGTTCCAGTGAAGTGGGGGTGTCAGCCACAAGAAGCTAAATGGCACTGCGCTCACCACACCCCTTCCTGGGCTCACACGCAGTCTCTGAAGCAGAGTGATCTCTCGGGCACCAGAAACCCAGGCCACTTTCTCTCCCTACCCCCTGACGGCTCCATGGGGGGACCCTCGGCTCTCTCCCACCCCCGAGCCCCGGCACGTGCACAGTGTGAGCACATGGCAGGGGCTTCTAAGTGACCGCTGAGAAAAGTCACGTCATCCTGGTGTGAACACACACAACCATTCTTCCTTCAGCACTTACTACACCTAAGACACTTGGTAGTCACTGCATGTTATAATGCTCTCGAGTTCCGATGTGTTACACAGACAAATGAAATTCAGTGGCAAATGAGTCACACACACAGACTAGTCCACAATCAATGCTGGATAAATATCGGCTGACTCAATTCATACCCCAGGGCTGCGGTACCCACAGATGGGTGTATGTGTACGCGCACACACACACACACACACACACACAATCGTTTCTTGAGCACCTACTATGTACAAAATATTTTTATGCATTAAATCTAATACTGCTTGTGAATGAAGGTATAAATTATAAATATCAAGTAGCTGTGAGTCACCAAGGACTCTTCAGTGGGTATGGAGAGCTCAGAACACAGCCTGGCACCGAGTGGGTACGCTGCACGGAGGCCGTGCGGCTCAGGAAGCCTCTGGAGCTCAGCTGCCCCTGACAGCCCTGTGACCCGAGGCAAGCACTCACCCCTCCATGCTCTCAGCCCCCACCTGGAACCTTAGGTAAGAGCAGTGCCCACATGAGGGCTGGTGCCAACAGCATCGGGGCGTGGCTGTAATTATAACCCTGACTTCAGGACAAACCCAGGACGTAGATCTGGCTTTATTTCTTCCCATCCAACAAAGTTATCCATCCCCTTAACAAGTCCACTGGAGGGCCCACTGTGCGCCCAGGAGGTGTCAGGGCAGGAGAGGCAGCCTTCTGTCCCCGTGGAGACCACTCTCCAGCAGGGACAGAAAGGAAACCCAGGAGAAGAGCAGGGACGGGCGCCACAGGAGCCGACGAGGAGGGTGGGGGAGGGGGGCTGGGGAGGCCGAGGCAGAGCAAGCCCAAGTGCAAAAGGCCAGGCGGGCAGTGGGCTCAGAGAGGCCGCAGACACGGGCAGAGCGGGCAGACGCGTGCGGGCGGGCGGCACAGGGAGCAGCAGGGGCCTTCCACCTCCCCCTGTCCCCAGGCCCAGTGGTGCGCAGCCCGGAGCCAGGACTCTCCCTGTGCTGCCCAGGTGAGCGCCCTGGGCTGGTTCGTGAGCAGGTCAGGGGCGGACTTCCACCCTGAGCCAGGACGCTCTCGAAGGTCCGCTCGGAACCACAGCCACCGGCCGGCAGGGCTGGGCTCTTGGGTGCTGGGTGGGTTGGGCTCTGTGGGCCAGAGCGTGGGGGCCGCGAGCTGAGCCACAGAGGCCTCTTGTGAGCCGGCACAGAGGCCCATTGAGAGTCCCCCAGCCCGGCCCCTGGCCTCAGCCCACAGCCCAGCGCAGGCGAGGAGGCCGGGCCTCTGCCCAGGAATGCACCCACTCCCAGGGGAGGGGGCCAGAGCTCCACAAAGCCCCTTTCTACTGGGGCCTGGGAAGGGCCCCGACTCTCCAGCCTGACCCCTTCCCTCCCTTCTCCCAGGCCCAGGGTAGGTTAGGGCAAGCCCTGGGTCTCCAGCCTGAGCTGCTGTCCTGCCACTGTGCCTGAGCATCAGGCAGAGGTGAGGCCTGCGGGGCTCAGGAAGCAGCCTGGAGCTGAAGTGTCGGAGCAGCTAGAGGCGGTGAGCAGGCCCAGGGGTGAGCAGGCTCGGCCAGCCCTCTCCCTCCTGCCTCCTTCCTTCCCACCCTCCCTGAAGCAGAGGCAGGAGTGGGGGCCAGAGCAGCCCTGTGCTGAGGTGGACTAGGACACACTCTGCCCACCCCAGGCCTGAGCGGGCCACCCCACCAATTCCCAGTGCCCCCCAGGCCCAGCAGAGCTCCCTGGGCACCCTGGGTCCTCTAGTGAGCCTGGGGTCGGCCTGTCCTGAGGTGGACACAGGCCTCCTGTCAGCTGGGAAAGGAGAACAGGAGAGCAAGGGAGGGGCCGGAGGGAGGATGGGGAGGGGCCCAGGGCTGACGGAGAGGAGACCCCTTATCAGACTCCACGACCATCATGCCAGCACAGAGAGCGGGAGGTGAGAAGGGACAGACAGGGGAGACGGAGCGACCCAGGGACAGAGACAGAGGAAGCAGGGGTGGGGAGCAAAGGTAGAGAGAGGGGAGCCGGAAATGCAGAGTGGCGGAAGCCGGGCAGGCAAACACTGCAGCGCAGAAAAGAAACCAAGGCAGGAGGCAAGCAGGGAGACAGGTGTTTCTGAATAGCAGGGAGCACCAGACGGGGCCTCAGCTGGCCGGCTGGCTTGGCAGAGGCCGGGGCCTCAGTACCCACCACCCTGGGACGTGGCATGACCCTGGGGCTCGCCTGACACTCCCAGGCCACACCTGGTCCCCAGGTCCTGTCATCCCATAGGGATCTGCACTTGAGGTGGAGGCAAGTCCAGGTGAGGGAGGTCACAGTCAGCACCAGGCCAAGCTGGGCCCAACCCTCCCCCTGCACTGGCCCTCCGGGACGACCCTGCCTACCAGCTGGGCAAGTGCCCCCACTCCTGGGGAGGCCCAGGCTGCTTCAGAGGCCCATGGCTGGTTGGTTCTCAGTCCCCATCAAAACTAGGTTTGGGTGCCCACTGCCTTGAGTGGCACTTTCCTGTGACTGTCACACAGCCTGCTAACCCCAACCTCACAGGGACTGGCCAACTAGCGCCCGGACTGTCTACAGGTCAGAGTGCACCTGCCTCTCCTTCCCCAGGGCAGGCCCAGGGAGACCTCCAGGCCATCAGCCCAGAAGGGGGTCCTCTGCTTAGGAGGCCTGCTCTGGAGCTCCCGAGGGGGCAGATTGGGGACCTACAGCCACTTACCCATCTGGAAGTCCCCACTGCCCAGATCCCCACTGCCCAGGTCATCTGCAAACAAAAGAGAGACACACTCAGCAACGTTCACACGTTCCCAGAGCACCTCCCAGCTGTCGGGTATGGCTGTGGGCCCTGGCGTGTGCAGGGAAGGGTCACGGCCGCCCTCCTCCACCTGCCCAAGGGAGCTGGCCTGTGAAGTCAGCTTAGGGGACTCCATCAGAGAGGGTGTGGACGGAGTCCCAAACTCCAGGGACTCCGTGACTTGTCTGATGGCTGGGGCAGACTGGCCTCCAAGGAGGACGAGGAGGACACAGGGCAGAGGCTGGGTGATCACCTCGCACTGCACACTGCCAGTACTTTCCCCAGCGGTCCCAGTGCTCCCAGGCCACAAAGAGGAGTGGTGACCAGCCCAGGTCACAGAGATTGTAAGTGGAGGCTGCTGAGGGCCTCAGGGCCAGGACTCAGGACGCACGTGGCCCACCTCCCGAGGCCCTGCCTGGGGTGGGTTCACGTGGACTCCTGAAGGGCCAGTGGGAAGAACCGCGACCCCACCCCGCAGCCCACTCTCCCAGCTGGGGCCCCTGGCACCTCCAGACGCATCGTCAGCCAGCAGGTCCTCATCGTCAGAAAGGTATGCGTAGCTCCAGCCAGCCCGGCCCACGGTGACAGTCTCCGTGTCCTCAGGCAGAGATAAGCCATCATATGCCCTGAGCCCGCGGGTCACCTGTGACAGATGACAGTCAATTGAGTCATATTTCCTGGCTACTGCCAAGCCCTGGGGCCTTCCCCTCACCTCAGAGAGGACCCAGAGTCTACCCCACAGCTGTCCAGCGGTAACATTAGACGCAGCTTGGCTAGGAGAGCCAGGCTGGGCTGACCACTGGTTTTGTTGTTTTGGTACTGGGGATTGAACTCAGGGGCACTTGATCATGGAGCCACGCCCCCAGCCCTATTTTGCCTTTTATTTAGAGACAGGGTCTCACTGAGTTGCTTAGCACCTCACTTTTGCTAAGGCTGCCTTGGAACTCGAGATCCTCCTGCCTCAGCCTCCCAAGCCTCTGGGATTGCAGGCGTGCGCCACAGCGCCCGGCTGAAACGCTGTTTTTGACTCAGCTTCCCCAGATATTGGCCTCTGGAGGCCTCAGTGCCCAACCCTGCAAATTCTGAAAGAATTTTCAAACAAAGCAGCCAATAAAATGAAGATCACTTAGTAAACGATGTCTCCTTTTTCTTTGGAGAAGGCAAGGGACAATGGGGATGTGAGTGAATGGACGGGTGGGGGTGGGGGATACCAGCAGTTAAAGGGTGACTTGGACCAGCAAGGACAGGGGACATGGGCAAGTGGAAGGGTAGCCAGATCAGCACAGAGGGGAGAGGCGGATCCAGGCTGCTCCTCCAACGGCAGCTCCCCACACCCACGCTGGCCACCCCCCTCTGTTTCAACTGGGTCCAGGGCCCCAGGCTGCAGGACGCTGGCCGTTGCCCTGAGCTCGGGCACTTTGCGCCACACTGATAGGCTCCTCCGTGCCCGGGGTGAGGCCCGGCTGTTGGGCTGAATGGGGGCAGCACAAGCGCGGTGTCAGCTCCGGGTGACCTGGGGCTAACGCTGAGCCCAGCACCAGCTCCCCTGAGGCTCCGGCTCTGCAGAGGGCGCGAGGCCCTGCACCCGGGCTCTCGGGTGTGGTGTGGGCAATGGACGCTGCTTTCCCCTTGGATGTCTCCACAGTTTTCCAGGGAACTCCGAGGAAGAAAAACCCAGGGGAGCCCAAGGTCACACGAGCCCACAAGCAATAACACACATGGTCACTCTGGCCCCTTAAGCCAGGTCCAAACGTCCTGGTGCGAGGGCCCCTGGCATGGCGAAAGCCAAATCCACCGCTAAACAAGGGGGTGAAGCCCAAGGAGGAGAACAACTCAAAGAGCCAGTGACACCCGGCTCCGTGCCCAGGGCCACATCGCCCCCACCCTGTTTAGCTGCGGGACCGTCCTTCCTCCTCTTGTTTAAGGGGCCACTCTCCCTCCTGCTCCCATCAGCTTGGACAGCCCCTCTTGAGGACCCAGCAACACTGAGGCACAGGCGACAGGCTCGGCCGCAGGGATGAGCTTCAGACTCACGCGCCACCAGTCCATGTGCAGGAGACTCTGGGCGACTCAGGCAGCGACAGGAGAGGCAGCAGTTGCCTGGGCCCAGGGCTAGGCTGGGGGTGGCGGGGATGGCACACAAGGGAGGTTTTGGGTGCTCTTTAGAACCTCTGTGTCCACCTTATTCTCATTTTTGACCTGTACCAGTGAAGCAGGTGTAACTATGTGGCTCACTGCCGTCTCAACAAGGAGGAGGCCGAGAGAAAACCCCCCAGGGGCAGGGCCAGTCCCAGCTGGGCTCCCACTGCTACTGTGCGCATCCCACGGGGATGGACGCACCTGGAGGGCAGGGGCTGCGGTGGACGGTCTCCACCTTCTCGCACCGAGCTCCATCAAGACTTGAATGAAAAAAATAAAATAAAAAGACTTGAATGAAGCTGGGCGCGGTGGCACAAGCCTGCAATCCCAGGTACTCGGGAGGCCAAAGCAGGAGGATGGCAAGTCCCGGGCCAGCCTGGGCAACTCAGTGAGACCCTGTTTCTAAATAAAAACTAAAAAGGCTGGGGATGGAGCTCAGTGGGAGAGCACCCTGGCTCCAGGGCCCAGCACCTCAAAGAAGACAAGGAGACTCGAATGAATGGACGTTAGCACCTACTAATTCCAGCTGCCTCCCCGAGACTTGCTTTGGAGGAGAGCCCACCCCCACGCAGTCCGAGCTCCCTGGGGGAAGGGCTGGGGCCACTGGTCGCATGGTGTTTAGAGGCCTTGGGTAAGACAGGCTCTGCCACACCTTACCATTTCACAGCCTGCGGCCCCTTCCCCATGATCCATGGGCACCACCACCTCCTGCTCCTGCTCTTTCCACCGCAAGAGTGCCTGTCTCTGTTCCGAGTGGTGCCCCAAGCCCTCTGGGCCACGTCCATGGCTCTTTAGAATCTCCAGAGCTGGTGGCAACGACTGACTCCCGGGCCCCAGCTCAGGGCCCCTGCACTGGGTTCTCATCCCAAGTTGAATACACAGCTGTCAAGTCCAGGGGACTCTGACTGCCACGGGGTACGACAAGGCCTAGGCTCAGCTTCCTTCCCTGGCTAGGGGTTGAGGGCAAGATTTCCACTGGCTGGAGAGTGGGCCCAAGCAGGCCCAGGTTGACTAGAGGGGCGTATGAGGCTAAGGCTAGTGCAGGAGCACTGCCTTTGGGCACAGGAGGTTTGAGCAGACAGGCTCGGGGTCCTCCCACCAGAAGATTCTTTGTGTTGCCCTTTCCCTTCCCATGCCACAAGGCTGCAGAAACCAAACACAGGGCCCACAGGTTCATGGCACCCCTAGACAATGCTCTCTGGAAAGGGAAACCTCGGTGGTGAGCAAGGTCCAGTGTTTTTTCCCAGGGAAAGAGCAGCTAGTGTGTGTGTGGGGAGGGGGGGGGTGCTTGAGACCAGACAGGAAATAGCAAAGTGAGATTCAACATGGAAAAAATGCCAGGAACACACATCTGCAGCGAGAGGGGAAAGAGGACTCGGAGCATGCCAGGGCCTGGACAGGAGTCTCCCTGAGGCCCAGGGGTCCCAGGTTGTGGACCCTTCTAGATGCCACCCTGACCTTGCTCCAGTCCCCTCCCCAGGTCAGAGGTCCCAGGTCAGCTCAGGGCCCCCATCAAGGGCCAAGTCAGCCTGAGCAGAGACTTCTCTGGTTAAAGGCTGAAGATCAAAAGGCCCCAGCAGCTGCTTTTCACATCTGGGAGGGGAGATGGGGCCAGACGGAAAGGAGCACAGAGCAGCTGAGACTGGGCCAGGGACGGGCCTCGGATCAGGACCTGGAAGTTGGGATCTGCTTGGGGAGTAATGAGAGCTGCATTCACTGGCGCCCTCCATACACTAGGTGTGTGACGCTGGGCCGCAGGAGGCGGCACGGAGACAGCCAGGTCACGGCTGGAGCCCACCTGTGCAGGAGCTGGGTGTGGACCCAGAGGTCTGGCTCCAGTAAACCTGGCGCTGGGCTCACTGGGAGCCCCTCTCCAGAGCCCCTCAGTTCATCGCTGCCGTTCCCAGAGCACCTCCTCAGCCTCGAAGTCATCTGAGATGACAAGAACCCCCTGAGGTGGCCCAGCAGCCACGAATGATCCCCATTCACGGAGGGAACTGAGGCCCGGGGAGAGGCACCTCGTGCAGATCACAGGGAGCCCAGCTCCCCACCCCCAAGCCCTCTGCTACCTGGAAAGGAGCGGGGCTGGGGGTGTCCCCAAGGCCTGAGGCCAAGGCACAACCAGGAAGCCAGATTTGGCCAGGACCTGCCCCAACCTGACCAACTCACAGGGAGGCCCCAGGGAGGCCCGAGCTGGCAGCAGCCTGGGCTGTGCGGCGCGTGCCTGGGTCCCCAGAAAGGCCATGAGTGGCTCCAAGGTCAGAGGCAGAAATAGAACCCAGGCTTCCTGCCCCCAGCCCCCTCGGGCCATGAGGGAGCCCAGCTTCCTCCCAGAGGAACCCAGTCGGCGGATGGCGGCTGAGGGAGACCTGGGCCAGAGGGGAAGGAACCAAGCTGAGGGGGGATTTTCCAGCCCCGCAGTTCCTGGGGGGAGGAGGCGGCTGACTCACAGGTCAAGGCGGGAAGTTTCTTCTTCCACCCTGGGAACAAGTGCTCGGGGCAGGGGTATGGGTAGGGTAGCCCCCAGGGGCAGGCACCCTCTGACCCAGGGTGCACGCGGGGGAGCTCCAGGTTCAAGTCCTGCCGAGGCTCAAGAGCACCAGGACAGAGGCTGGACCCTCTGCTGGGCAGGACAGCTCCTGGCACCGCAGTCAGGCCACACCCTCAGAGGCCCTGGGCAGCAGGCAGAGAAGGTGTGGGCAGGGAGGCCCAGGCAGAGAGAGGACACAGGGTTTGAGGCTCCCAAGAGTGTTCTGAAGTGTGGACTTTTCAAAGATAAGAGTTTTCGGGTTCTGCTAAAATCAAAGTTGGTGGCAGATGGCAGCACAGGGACAGGACAGCAAGAGGGCTTCCTCCAAGCCAGGTCCCTGCGGAACGTCTCGATGCACCCTCACTGCACCCCAGGGCAGGGCTGGTGCTACGGGGACACTGTCCCCCGTCTGCAAGGAGAGAAATCCAAAGAGCTCTGGGAACCAGAAGTGTTGGTTTTGGTTTTTGACTCGCGGGGCTGGGGATGAAGCCGGGGGCCTTGGGCAGCTGGGCACGGGCCACAGCCCCACTGCGGCCGTGGCAGGCAGCCGGCGCATGTCTCAGCACCTTTCTCCAAGAACCTTCTGGATTCCAGAACATGCCGGACCCCAGGTTTCGGGCAGGAGACTACATTGCTTACTTCCACTTTATGGATGAGGAAACAGGGGCTCAGGGAGGGCCGGCCACGAAACGGGACCATGTGTGTGAGGCCCGTAGCACCTCACATATAGTAAGTGCTCAGTTAGTGCTCAAACGAGCACCATGCAGGGTGCAGAGGGAGAGGAGGGGTGGGTGGATGAGGGGTGACGCGCGGGAGTGCAGGGTGTGGGCTCCGGCCTGGGTCGCGCCAGGTGCGAGGTGAAGTGGGGGCCTGGGCCACAGAGCTGGGTTCCAGGGCTGCAGTTGTCTGCCTGCTCTGAGGCTGGATCTGGGACACCCCAGGGGTGGGGGTTTGGGCTTCTCCAAAACATTCTTCACATGCCTCGGGCTCACAGCCTCCCTCCTCCTGCCTCCTGGCTCGGCCTCCGTCTGAGCCCCCCACCGCCCCCGCAGCTGGGCAGGAAGGTCTGAGCCCGCACAGTCCCCAGGGCGGCTGCAGCTGCCCAGGGCAAGGCTCCAGGCATCTGGGGCTGGAGTGAGCTCACCTCGTGGAAATCCAGAGGCAGTGTGGGGGTGGGGACAAACCCAAGGCCCCCAAATCTCTAGGGAGGGACACAGACGCAACCCCCCCCACAGCAAGATGCAGGTTCCCAGGCAGCACAAGCGCTTCCCCCTCCTGCCCAACCCAGACACAAGGTCAAGGTGCTCTGCCCCACCCCCAGGCGGCAGGGTCCTGTCCACGGCAGGCGGCAGGCGGCAGGGCAGGAATCTGTCAGGGCAGCACTTTGCTGTGCGAACTGCCAGGGGCGGGGGAGCCCGACACAAAGGCCCCAAGGCCTTTAATCCCCAGGCAGTCTGAGGGGGCGCCTGGCCGGAAAGGAGGTGGCTGCGGCCTCCTCAGGCATGCCTGCGCACCCGTGCCTCTCGTGCCTCTCGGGGACAGCCAGCTTCTCACACTTGGGCCCCCACGGCAGCAGGACCTGTGCCAGCCAGTCAGCCAGGAAGAGCACTGATTCCCAGAGGGAGGGCATCACCCCAGGTGCCAGGCTAAGTCTTCAAAAGGCTGGTGTCACTCAAATCCACCATCCTCCTGAGCAGACAGCGGTGGCAGCCCTGTCTCACACGTAGGGAAGCTAGGCTCAGAGAGGGAATGTCACCAGCCCTTGGCCACACAGCGAAAGCAATGAGCACTGTGTCTGACTCAGGCTCACTCTGTTCTCTACCCCAGGCCCTTGCTTCTGCCCTCTGCTCTTACCGAGGCCGGGGACCTGGAAAGGCCAGCACTGAGGTGGCTGAGGAGGATCAGGGAGACCCAGGGAGCAGGAACAAGGGCTTCAAGTTTCTAGCTCTGCCCCGAACTCACCTGTGGCTCTGGACAGGCCCCTGGTTTCTCCCTTTTAGCAAAAATTACATCCAGCCCCTGGGGGGGGGGGACCTCGCTGTGGGAGGCGTCCACAGCCCCCTCAGTGGAAGTGCCCAGAGACACCAGCAGGGTTGGTCTGCGGCCCTCAGCATCCCACCACAGAGGCACATAGTAGGCCCTTCGTATTTGTGACTCACTGTCAGATGGCTGAATGAACTTGTCCAACAACCCCGAGGCAGGAATTAGCCACTGGACAGAAGAAACCGAGTGCAGAAACAGGAAGCAGGACGGTCCCAGAGGCGGGGGGCCACTCCAGGGCCGGGTTCTCCATTGACAAAACCCGGTCTGAGCCAGGGATCACGTGGCACGCAGGGAGGAGGCTGGCACAGGGTCCTTGAAGTCCACCTGAGGTGCCCCCTGCCCTCAGGGCCTCCCTGCGGCCTTGAGCTCCCTGCCGGCCATGGCTCTTCCCAGAGACAAGCAGAACGAGGGCGACTTCTTAGAGAAGCATGGCCAGCGGACCCCGAAAGTGCCCGGCCTGTCCCCAGGTGGCCTTGAGGGCTCCTCAGCACAGGTGGAGCGGGCAGCCCAATTGGCCAGCTACTGTCCAAGCCTAGGCCCAGCAAGAACCCTGGGTCTCTGGGTCTCAGGGGAGTGGGGCAGTGAGACAGGGAGGGCCAGCCCCATGCTCATGGGACGCCCGGATTCCAGGCCACAGTGGCCACCTTCTAGCTGGGCAGCCTCAGCTTCCCCACCCACTAAGAAAGGCCGTCACTCAGACCCGCCCTTGATCACAAGGTTCCATTCAAGTCATTTTGACCTCGATTCACTGAGCACCTACTATGTGCTGGGTCCTGGGGATGAAATGATGAAGCGGACAGAGGAGGAGTTCTGTGTTCCTGCAGAGGAAGGGAGGGGGAGTCACATGCCACCAAACCACATGGTGACAACACCGTGAGGAGGGATCTGAAGAGGTAGGGGGGCTGGGAGAGGGCATGGATGCCTCCCACTTAGTGAGAGGCTGGAGGAGCCTCCCTCGGGGGAAATGATGACCCTGAGGCCCAAAGACGGCTTCACTGGAGTGCGGTGCAGGGGGC